CATCAGATTAGTGCAGCTGACCCTGGGTTAACCCATGTGGTGTGCAGTAAAATTCTACCTAGGCCTTGATGACCTAAAGAATCTTCCCAGGTAAAAAAGAGAAAAGACCCTGCAGACTTCACTGCAGTGCACGGTGATTTTCAGTAAATGTTGGAGGAGGGGTTACATAGTTAGCCTAAGGTGCACCAGTGGCCAGCTTCAGAGGTCCTTATTACAGCTTCTCCATGATAGAAACTTAATTGTCACCACACTGTGATAGAACCAATTTAAGCAGTATCATCTTTTTCTTAAACTGCAACCACCTAATTAGAAACAAGAAGTAACATGTAATTTTTAGTGTTACTGGAGTTTGAACTCAGGGCCTTGTGCTTACCAGGCAGGCACTCTATCATTTGACCACACTCCAGCCTAAAATAATCAATTTTTTAAAAAATGTATACATAGCCAGGTGACAATTGGCTCATACCTGTAACCCTAGCCACTTGGGAGGTTGAGATTAGGAGAAGTGTGGATCAAGGTCAGCTTGGGAAAATACTTCATGAAAACTCTGTCTCCAAAATAACTAGAGCAAAAATGAACTGGAAGTATGGCTCAAGCAGTAGAGTGCCTGCTTTGCAAGCGCAAAACGTTGAGTTCAAACCCCAGTCCCACCAAAAAAAAAAAAAAAAAAACTATCCATGATGAATGGTTTGTGCACCCTTAAGCACATCCAGGGATGGCTCTTTCCCACAGTGTCTTGTTCCAGTCAGACAGTTTTCCCCACTTGTTTTAGACTAGCATCTGCTAGAAACTTGTATAACACTGTTCTCTGGTTTTTGCCACATAGAGCTATAGATCCTAAATCTACCACTCTAAACCATTCCATAGCCAGCCCTTTAAGGTTGTTATTTTGGGTCTTGATTTTCCTTTCTCCAGAGTAAATACCCAGCTTTTTGACCACTCACAGGAGATGTCCTCAACATAGGTCTAGTTACTTAGAACTGTTTTCATCTGGGCACTGGTGGCTTATGCCTATAATCCTAGCTATTAAGGAGGCAGAGATCAGGAAAATCGAAGTTCAAAGCCAGCCTGGGCAAAGAGCTTGAGAGACCCTATCTCACAAAACCCTTCACAAAAATAGGGCTGGTGAAGTGGCTCAAGGTGAAGACCCTGAGTTTAAACCCCAGCACCAAAAAAATGATCCAAGTAAACAGGATTGTTTTCTTTACCTGTGTTTAATGACAAGAAAATTCATTTAATTGGCTTTTTGACATAATTCCAGTCTATTGGGGCCTGCTATTTATATATGTATGTATGCATGCATGTGTGTGTATGTATGTGTGTGCTTGGAATATTGAATTGAGGGCTTTGTACATGCCAGGCAAGCTCTCTACCGCTGAGCTGTATCTCCAGCCCTGTTGGGGCATTATTTAGAACAGTGAGTCTTTTGTGTTAGCTGTCATTTCTAGTTTGCTGCTGTCTGAATTGGATATGAATGTCTTCATCCAGTTAAAATATTCAACAAGACAAGGATAAAAACCTTTGAATGGAAACCCATCCTTCCAAGTTGTTGGTGCTAACCTACTAGTAAAGAATGTTTGAGTAAGATTCAAATACTTTTTTTTTTTTTTTTTGAGACTAGGGCAAGGTCTTTCTATGCTACCCAGTCTGGTCTTAAATGCTGAGCCCAATCGATTCATCATCTGCCTCAGCCTCCCAGGTGCTAGGAGTATTAGCCACTGCTCTGTTTTATTTTAATTAGTTAATTAATTAGGGTTTATCAGCAGGTTATAATTTGTTGATTATTTTGGTCATAAATTTCCAAGGCTCCTAGGATGAACAAGAACCTTCGAGTCCAAAACTCTGTCTTTGGACAACTTTCAACCTTTTCAGTCTTCCCTATCTATAAATTTGAGATAATTGTATTTCTCTGATCAAGTTGTGGAAATTTAATTAGATTTGATCAGAGACATGAAATATCTAGCTCTGCTTCCCACACGGGGACACTTGATTCAGACACAGAGACCCTTGATAATTGTTAGCTGCTGCCTCCTCCCATTCCTCCTTGTGTAATTTAACATACTCAGTATTGACTACCAGTTTCTGCCTAGTACATAATTCTGTGAGGTAACAGTGTGAAATTATTGTGAGGCCCTACTAGGGCCTCTTTGGTTGCCCTTATTTTTGTTTTTTGTTTCTGTTTTTGTTTTGCAGTCTTTTTTTCCCAGTACTGGGATTTGAACTCAGGGCCTCATGATTGTTAGGCAGGTCCCCTCTTACTTGAGCCACTCCACCAGCCCTGTTTTGTGTTGTGTATTTTCCAGTTAAGGTCTTGTGAACTGTTTGTCTAGGCTGGCTTTGAACCTTGATCTTCCTGCTCTCTGCCTTCCTAGTAGCTAGGATTATAAGAGTGAGCCACTGGCACCCAGCTCAGTCTGGGGTTTTGAACTCAGGCCTTCATGCTTGCTAGGCAGGCACTCTTACCACTTGAGCCACATGTCCAGTTTCCTTTTGTATCCACATAACTAAGCTGTACAAGTCACCTCTCTCTGTACCCATTCACTTTTCCCTTGTGTTTTCACAGTGGATCCCTGATATAACCTCTGCTAGAACCCAGGGTTTCTCAAGCTTTAATGTGTTATCTAACAAATGACTCCAAATCCTAGCAATTTAAAGCAAAAAGACATTGATAAACTCACAGTTTCTGAGTCGGAAGTGACACAGCTAGATAGTCTGCATGGTTTTGACTTAGTAGGTTTTGGTTACATGTCAGCCCATCTGTAGTCATCCAAAGACTTTGTTGGGACTGGCAGATCTGTTTCCAACAGCTGCCATTGTCACTGCAGTTCTTGCTGGTTGTGGGCATATGATTTTGCTGCCTTGCACGCGGGCCTGTCTATGGAAGTGCTCCCATGTCCTTAAGACACTCATGTCCCATGAGTGTCTTAAGAGACACTCATGAGTAATCTGAGAGCAAGGAGGGAATGCAGTGCCATCTAAAAACCTCATTGGCTTCTGAAGGCTCTGTTATCATTTCTGGCAATTCTTTTAAAGCCTCACGGCTCAGCCACATACACAGGGCATGTACCCCATGTTTAACAGTAGACATTCCCCCCCCCCTTTTATTTTTAAGGTTTCTGTGAAAGTTCCTAGAGGGAAATGGGCTCGCCTTCCCTTGAATTCTATAATATTACTGGTGTTGGCTTTAATTCACTTTGTTTCAGTTCTACTGCACTGCTAGGAGGGATTTTTTTAAATGATTGCCTTCATTTGACCTGCTTTCCTGCCAGCAGAACAACTTCAGCTCTCTCACAAGCTATTTGTCAAGTTGATTGAAGCAGCTGTGGTAATTAGAATGCTAAGGAAGTTAGCTCAAACCATACTTTGTAGGAGTTTAGTACTTTCCTGCAGGCATTCATCAAGCAATGGTTTTCCTATGTATGCCAGGCTTGGTTTCAAGTCCAGTAGATGGCAGGATGATAATAAGTAAGTACACAAAAATATATTGACACTACTTGAATGACTTCCTATGGAAGAAGTGAGGAGATAGGTGTGATATAAAACAAAGAGATTTACTTAGATTGTTTCTGAAAACCTGTCTAAGACTTGGATAAAAAGAAGAGACCTAAAAGAACTCAGAATGTCTTTGTAATGAAAAGGTGCCTGGCTGATGTTGGAGGGATCAAGTAGAGGCTGCATGGTTCCAGACCATGGTAAGGGCCTCATTCTTAGTGGAGATTTCTAAAGTGGATTGATACGGTGTCCATCTTGGAGGCCTTCTAATTTAGTCACTGTCAAAACAATTGGGAGATCCAAATTACAGCTACAGATTCAACTATAGTGGATTGGAAAATGCCATTTCTATGTTAACTTGACAGAGGAAAGCCAAAAAAACCCCTCAAGCTTGAATGGTTGTCAGGGATGTGGGTGCCATCTTATCAATTCAAAACACAAAATGTAAGAATAATCACGGTAACAACAGGAAGTACTTACGCTGGAGACGAAAGCGCACCTGCCTTTAAAAACAATGGGCTGACGGAGTGGGTCAAGTGGTAGAGCAACTGACTACCAAGTGTGAGGCCCTGAGTTCGAACCACAGTACCATCAAAAACAACAACAACGTTTTAGGTAGCACAGGGTATTCAGATTTATGTCTCTTTAAGTTCTGTGATTTGGTTATATGTCGAAACCTGCCTATGGCCATCTGCCCTCGCTGTTGATTCAACTCTTGGTTAGACAAGAGAACAGGATAGGTGTGGTGAAATGCCTGTGGAGTTCTCACCAACTACCTTTCCACAGTGTCTACTGATTCTCTTCTAAGCCTTTCACAGTTCTTGCTTCCTATATGCTGTAGTATCCAGGGTGCTAAAAGACTGGGTTCTGGCTTATTTTCCCCAGAAAGATAGCACTTCCTTGGAAGAGGCTGAATGAAATGACCTCTACAACTCTGGTTTCTGGGTTCTGTTAACCCAGGCTGTAATGACAGACATCTTCCCCTCTGAAGTGCCAGCATGTGTTTCTGCCACTGAACTTTACTTCTTCTCTTACTCTGTGGGGTGGCTGGGCAACTCTGCCTATCCTCGTTGGGCCCTTCATCCTAAAGTCTCACCTGAGTTGGCTAATAAAGCTGAATTAGCTGGTGGATTGGCATGGACAGCAGGTCTCTCTTTTGTGCATACTATCTCTCATCCTTAAAGAGTGTAGACAGGTTTCTTCACATGCCTATGTTTTTAAGATAAAAAACATAAAATTCAGAGTGCAGTACTTTCCTCCTTGGAACCACTGCTGTTTTCTGTAAATGGAATCATTTTGGGAATACTATTTGGTAATAGGTTATAAACCTACTTTAAAGTTACTACAGACTTTGATGTTATTCTTAGAAATGGGATAATAAACATTAGCAGTGAACCAGTTATCTAAGAGAAAATTTTAATTTATGTTGTTAACAGTGGAGTATATTGTATAATAACTTATGTTGGGGGGATTGTCTTTTTTTTTTTTTTTTTTTTTTTTTTTTTTAGCTCTTCAGAGAAGTAAGAATAATGAAGATTTTAAATCATCCAAACATAGGTACTTTCTGCTTTCTTAAATAATTTGGGGTCTAAATGTATTCATGAAAGTATGTCATAAAGTTAAATATGTATTCTTGAGGTGATAGAAGGATATTCCTTCCCTCCCCCAGTCCAGGTACACTTTTAATAAAACACGTGCATGTACACTCACATTATTGATCATTTGTGTTAGCCTTCGGAAATTACTGAAGCCCAGTCAAAAGGTTAGGTATTAAGCATTTGAACTTAAAGTTTTAATGCCGTAGAAACATCTACAATCAGACTGAATATAACTTTCTAATTTTTTAGTGTATTAGAAAATATAATTGTATCTCATTAGTAGATACAAAGAATGGAACTATATACCCAGTCAGAGTTAAAATTTTCAAAGATATATTTCTTTTTGCTGTGACTGTGTTCCTAAGAAATACTTGTACAAAGCAGCATTTAAAAGGTAGGATACTTGCTATCAAATTGAATTTTTATAGGAATTGTATTTAAAGTTTTGATTTGTTTTATGTGTCCTCTGTGTGCACAGCTTTGTGTTAGGTGTTTGAAGATGAGGAAGAGACATGGTCCTACCCTTACACTAATTGTAGGACAAAGATGAAATATCAGTTACTTAATACTGACCCTGTTGTAATTTATCTAAATGAATACTTATGATCTCACATATAATAGGGCTCTTTAATATAACTGCATTTTTATAAAGTTATAGTTAATAGTTACTGCATTCTGAAAATATTATTTCCAGAGTAAATGAGAGGGGTATTCTTCAGGGACAAGAATAGAAGAATAATGTGCAACCACAGGAGGGAAAAGGCTTTTAAATAGAGCTTATACCCTATTTCATCCCATCATTTAAAAGACATTATTGTTTTATGTACGAGTATGAAGAAAAATGCTACCAAGCCATCATTCTGATATCAGGGTATATTAAATAAAATGGAGGAAAAGATAGACAAAAAGAAATATAATAATGATTGGGGGTCGGGGGATAAAGGAGAATGATGGAAGGGGTAGTAAATTCAGTTATGATATATTTGATATATTGTAAGAACTTTTGAAAATGCCACAATGTACCCTCAGCACAACAATAAAAAAAAAAAAAGAAATGTAATGGAAGAAAACCTTCTTTCTTTACTTTTCATTTCAGCCCTTTGAGGTTAGTCTGCCAACTCTAGATTTTAGAGTTCCAACAACTTTTCACCCAAAAAATACTTTTTTTTATCTCTACTTTCTAGAATTTTTTTCATTTTTGTGTTTGGGGGGGGATGGTGCTCAGATTTAAATTCAGGGCTTCACACTTTCTAGGGCAGGGATTCTGCTGCCTGAGCCATGCCTCCAGTCCTAGATAGATTGATTGATTGATTGATTTTTTTGGCAGTGCTGGGGTTTTTTGCCAGCTCTATTTTTTTTTTTCCTGTTGGTTTTTTTTTTGAGATACGGTCACATGAGCTATTTGCTGGAGCTGTTTTTTTAACCATGATCCTCCTGACCTCTGCCTCTAGAACTTTTTTTGTTTTAATGCAGTGCCAGAGCTTGAACCAAAGACTGCTAGATAAATGCTTTACCTTGAGCCCTAGAACTAACTAAACATTTTTTTTATCTTTTAATTATTTCAATTGTACCCTGATTCAGAGTTGTATACTTAATAAATGTCTTTTTTTTAATATTGATTGAAATTTTTAAAAATCCAGATTGCAGAGTGGAGATTGGGAAGACTGGTCTCAGGTCGGCTCAGGGCAAAAAGTTCTTGAGACCCCCATCTCAGTCAGTAAAAGCTGGGCATGGCAACTTGCATCTGTCATCTCAGCTATGCTGGAAGCATAAATAGGATTTCAGTTCAGGTCTGGAGGCCCAGGAATAAATGAGAGACCCTATTTGAAAAATACCTAAAGCAAAAAGGGGTTGGGGCATGGCTCAAGTGGTAGAGTGCCTGCTTGGCAAGCAAAGGCCCTGAGTTCAAACCCCAGAACTGCACATGCACATAAAAAATCATATTGCATTGAAATTTTTTCTTAGAAGAGCTAATATTTACTCTGGAATATTAGAAGGATTTCATTTTTATGTTGCTAGTTTACCAACACATATGCCTTAACTTTCTTAAGTAGCTTTTCTTGATAGTAGGAACATAGAGTCTGAGGAATCCTCTGAGAATTTTATTTACCAGTTCATCACAAACATTTATTGACTACTGTGCCAAGTGCTTTGTTTGACCTAATACTCTACTAAAGCATTAGAAAACCATCTACAGTGTAAAGGACTAGCAACCCCTTCCTTTTCTGGGTAAACTTAATTTTAAAGGAAGTATTAACAAAATAAAATAGATAACCAAAATGGCGACTTGATAGCTTCAGAAATTCACTTCAGTTTCATTTTAAAATTAAATACATATTTCTTACTGGTTGGCAGTGGCTCATGCCTGTAATCCTAGCCACTTGGGAGGCTGAGATTGGAAGGATCGAGAATCTAGGCCAGCCTAGGCAAGTAGTTCACAAGACCCCATCTTCAAAATAACCAGAGCAAAATGGACTGGAGATGTGGCTCAAGCAGTAGTGTCTGCTTTGCAAGTACAAAGCCCCAAGTTCAAACTCCAGTCCCACACACAAAAATTCTTTCCAACTAGTTGCCATATAATCCTTTCTAATTCCTTCCATTTCTGCACTCAGAATAGTAACAAAGGAACCTTGTTCTTTGAGAGTTGTAATAAGTTCTCCAAACAACAAAGGTCTCAGGTAATCACCCCCTTAAAGCTATGGTGATGAGTAAATGGGCTTGTACTTGCAGGAGTCTTTGTATAGATATGGACCATCTCTGCCAGCTGAGAGAAGTGAGAGACCGGTGAGCTGATGAGAGGGCAGTTTGCCAACACAGACACCATCAAGGGCAGTAGCAAGGATAGGGAAAGTGAAAACATAATACACTTGGCTAGAATGCAAACAGCATGCTGAGCACCAAGAAATAATCTTTATTTTTATGGAATTCTTTGCTTTTATAAAATCTTTTCTGTTGTTGTAAGATACTATAAAAAAAATCCCTAAACATTTTTTGGAGGGCTAGCACTTCAAAGGTTTTTAACAGAGAAAAAGTTGCTTTTCATAGAGTTTTTATGTGCATAGTTTGTGCATAGACATTTGTTTCTTGTTTTTCTTGTATCCTTTCTGCTCTCCCAGTGAAGTTGTTTGAAGTCATTGAAACTGAAAAAACACTCTACTTAATCATGGAATATGCAAGTGGAGGTAAGCACATTTATTTATATTGGGTTTTTTTTTTTTTCCTTTCAGAAGAATGCACAGCCAAATTACCCATATGGATAATTGTTAAGGTTTCATTTAACATCCATAGTCAGGGCTGTGTCAAGTGACACAGTGCCTGCCTAGCAAGTGTGAGGCCCTGAGTTCAACCCCAAGTATCACCAAAAAGCAAAAACAAATCCCTAACATCCAGAGTCATAATACACTAGGTAAGAGTCAGAAAAGTTGATTCTTAGCAATTCTGTGGGTTGTAGTATTTCACTGTTGTTATTATTAACTGAAAATACCTAAGTATTTGGCTCTTTGCATTGTGGTAAAATAGACATCACAGAAAACTTACCATTTGAAATATTTTCAGGCATACAGTTTAGTAGCATTAAGCACATTCACATTGTTGTGCAACCCTCATCACCATCCATCTCCAGAAATTTTCTTAAACTGAAGCTATGTACCCATTAAACCCTAACTGCCCAGTTCCCTCTTCCTTAGCTCCTGGCAACCACCATTCTACTTTCTGTCTCTGAATTTGACTACTTTAGATACCAAACATAATGGAATCATAGAGTATTTGTCCTTTTGTGCCTAGCTTATTTCACTTAGCATAACATCTTCAAAGTTATTCCATTGTTTGTATGTATTTGTGTGTGTGTGTATATATTTTGTTTATCCCAAGTATTTAGATTAATGTTTTAGTGTGTTGAAAATAAATGTGTATTGCATTTTAGATGCTTTTCTTTATCAAATTTTAATGTCATTGATGTCCATCTTTCCAAAGGCCAAAAATGATGTGTTGTAACACATGTAACTGTATTTTCCTTGAAACAAAGATTAACAACTAATAGTTATTTGCCTACAAGATTGTTAAAATGTAGATATTTTCTCTTTCTCTCCCTCTCTTTTTTTTTTTGGGAAGTGGGAGGGGCGGTACTGGGGTTTGAACACAGAGGCTTATGATAGCCAGGCAAGCACTGTGCCATTTGGGCCATATCTTCAGCCCTTCTGCTTTATGTATTTTAGGAATAGGATCTAGAATGTATGCGAAGACCTGCCTGGACTATAATCCTATTTATGCTTCCTGTATAACTGGGATGACAGGAGTGCGGTACCACACCCAACTTTTATTGGTTGATATAGGGGCTTGTGAACTTTTTTTTTGCCTTGGCTGGTCTCAAACCCTGGCTGTCCTGATCTCTGCTTCCTGAGTAGCCAGGATTATAGGCTAAAGCCATTCCACTTGGTTAGATACTTTCTGAAGTGCATGTATAGCTGCTTTTCTTTTTTAAGGTTGTGACTAAGGTTTAAACTCGAGATTTTGTACTTGCAAAACAGGTACTTACCTCCAGTCAGTTTTGCAGTGGTTATTTTGGAGATGGGGTCTCTCAAGCTATTTGCCAGGGCTGGCCTTGAACAGTGATCCTCCTGATCTCAGCCTCCCGAGTAACTAGGATTACAGATATGAGTCACTGGTACCTGGCTGTTACTGTCTTTCATAAAGATTCTCACTTGAGTGTTGAGGGTGGCTGGGCTTTTAGTTTGGGACCTCACTTACTGTGGAGGACAGAAGCTTTCCTGGTCATCTTTTCATGTTCCTTGCCTCAAGCACCATGCGGGTGCATAGCAGACACTCGACAAATACGAATTATACTACATTTGTGAAGTTATAAACTCCTGGAGACATACGCTGTTGTACTCTACAGGATCTAGTTTTGTTTTATCATTAGTTCTTTGATCCAGGTTGCAAAACCTGGAGGGAGAAAGTTTAATCAAAACCTCATGTTGTGAGTTAACCATTGAAAGGCTGTAAGCCTGTCATGGGAAAGAATGTATTATAGTATGTACACCGCTGACACCACTCTTTCATACTCCTAATTGATCATTAGTTGTGTGTTTAATATTTTAAATGTCTACTTTGGAAATTTAGTTGGGATTTTCAAACTTAAGGAGCAGTAGGAAGAGCTGAGGGTTAATGCAGAACCAAAATCTTCACAGAGTTCCAATACTCTGGTCATCCCATGGGCAAACAACACAGTTGTTCATAACCTCCTGGTTTGTGTGGCCTCCAGTGTTTGAGGTGCTTGCTCTGCCTAGCCTCCATGGTCTTCACAATGTCTCTGTTATGTGGCTTTTGCACTTTTGAGGGAATGAATGGCCAAGAAGACTCACAGTGGTCTACAGCTGCCAGTCATAGAGCCCAGCCTTCTGATAGCATCTAGCCCCTCTGATCTGTCAGTCTGTCACTGCTTTCTGTTACTATCTATTTTAGGGGACCAAGTCCTAGAGATTACTCTTACATAGGGGCAACACAAAAACATCTAAGGATTACCCAGATTTAGTAGAAAGAAGATGAGATTTGGAAAAGACAGACATGGGGCGAATCCAGCTAGCCCTAACTGGCTGTGTGACCTGACAAATAATATATTTGGCTGACTGAGCTTTATAGTGGGTGTGCTTACCTAGCTCTCAGCATTATAACTTAAGGATGGGGGTGGTGGTTTACTGCCTGGGATGGGCTGTGTGTTTTAATCAGCTTAGCAAAATACTATCTACAGCACATAGGAATGACAAAAGTTTCATTAAATTGATTACCCTCCTTCCTAGCTAGGTACCTTTTGACTTGCTATAGTTGTAGAATTTTAGAATTACAAACAAATCTTCCTTAGAAATTATCCAAGGCAGCTGTCTATTTTTTACAAATGAAATTAAAGCACAAAAAAAGTTGTCATGTGCCAAAGGCTCAGTTGATTGTAGGACCTGAACTAGAACCAGGTACTTTCTAATTGCCCTTGCATTCAACCCTGACTGCTCTTTTTTTTCTCTTAGTAACCTTTATGGGTTTTCAGTTTAGCTGCTTAATCTAAGTTTTAATGTTTTTAATAGAAGAGAGAAATCTGGGTTGAATTCCTAGCTTATAAGTTGGATTCCTGGTTTATAACTTAGTAATTGTGAGTTGCTTTATGGTCCCACACATCTTGTAAGAGATTTATATTGCATTTGAATGTATAAAAATAGTTTAATTATGTTGGGAGATTGACACCATTATCTATGTTCTCTACAACAATAAATGGGCTTTACATCCACTAGTGCTTTTCAAGTCAAACTACTTTCTGTAAATATGCACACATCTTTAGTTGTTTTCACTTATTAACCACTTGTTTTACATTGCTTGCTTTCCTGCAGTAGAATGGTTATTCACTTAGAAAACGCTGACAGTAAGCCAGGTGTGGTGGTGCTCACCTGTAATCCTAGTGCTTGGGAGGTAGAGGCAGAACTATTGAGAGTTTGAGGCCAGCATCGAATACATTGCAAGACCCTGTCTCTAAATAAAATTAAAAGAAAAGGCTAACACTTTACTGAGCTGACAGTTTATCTCATAATTCATCAGAGTTAAGTGTACCATGTAGGGTAAATTAACATGTGTAGTGCGTTTTTAAAGATTCTTGTACAATCAAGTGATACATGGAAATATTTTTGCCCATTCATTACTTAAAATTTATTTATTCAAAATAGCTTACAGTGCAGGTTTAAAAAACTTTTAAAAATTTATTCAGAGTTAGGGTTAAGGTTTAAAAGTCTTGTTGGGCACCAGTGGCTCATGCCTGTAATCCTAGCTACCCAGGAGGCAGAGATCATGAGGATTGAGGTTCGAAGCCAGTCTAGGCAAATAGTTCACAAGACCTTACCTTGAAAAAAGACACACACACACACACACACACACACACACACACACACACACACACACAAAGAGGGCCTGAGTTCAAGCTTCAGTAATACAAAAAAAAAAAAAAAAAAGTTTCAAAGTCAGAGCCAGGCATGGTGACACACCTGAAATTTCAGCACTTTGTGGGCTGAGGCAGAAAGATCACAGGTTTGAGGCCAGCCTGGGCTACATAGTGAGACCTTGTCTCAAAAAAAAAAAAAAGTTTAGTAAAACTCATAGATATATGTAATTCAGAATGAATTTTTAAGTATCAGAATATTTCAGTTTAATGTTGTCATTAAGCTGATGAATACATATTTCTTACTTGTATAAAGATGTGTTTCTTTCCCAAAAACATTTTCCATCTAATTCTCTAAATGAGTATAGTTTTCTGTGAATTTCAGAGATGATGTTTCTTTATTCTAAGTTCATAAACAGCCGCACCAATACTATATTCCCTTAGGTGTCCCTTCTCTTTTCTTTTTGGGCAATACTGTGTGAATTGTTAATTAGAATCAGCATACTTCTTTTGGCATCACCAGCTTCTTGTCCTGAGCCCGCTGCTCACTACCATTGAGCATCCCACACTTGACCCAGTCACTTGCATGCTTGATTAATTATTGCACAGGTCTCCTAGTGGGTCCCCCTATCCTTTTCCTTCATCCTAACTACTGTCTCTTCTAGTGGCCAGTGATCCTTTCAAGAAGTTAGTCATTCCCTTTTTTGGGGGGCAGTAACCCACTTGCTAGACAGTGCTCCACTGATTGAGCCACTCCACCAGCCCTTTTTTTTTTTTGGTCTTGAAAACCATTTGCCCAGGCTGGCTTCAAACTGCAGTCCTCCTGATCTCTGCCTCCTAAGTAACAGGTGTGAGCCACCAGCACCTGGCCTCCTCCTCTTTTCTACTTAATTTCCTTTAGAGTAAAGCCAGAGCCCTTCCTAAAGCCTTCAGGACTCTTCAGGATATCCTTGCCTGCCACTCTGCCTCTTGCTCTCTCCAGCCCCATGGCTCCCTTGCTGTTTTCTTTTACTTACTGTAGACTCCCATTTGAACAACATTGTCCCCTCCTTTAGGTAGTCAGCAGAGTGCAAGTAAACAGGTTGACACACATTCTTCCTGGTTTTTTTCCCCCTTTTCCTGCACAGTGCCCACAGTCCTGACATACTGCATATTTGTTCATTGTCTTTCTCCCCTGCTAGAAGGCAAACTCCATGGGGAAAAGGGCTTTGATGAGTTCACTGCTGCATTTTTCCAGAGCCAGGAACAGTGCCTGGCAGTTAATAGGCACTGAGTAAATACTTATTGAATGAATGAATGTACTTAGGAAATGCCATGTGGTCATAATCCTACAGGAAAGACATCCTCTTAACACAAATAACTTAATCCATTGTAACTGTATTTCATTGCTCAAGATTTTTTTTACCTGTTTATTTATTTAACTGTTTATTTCATTGTGATAATTCCTTACTTGCATACAGTGTACCTTGAACAAGTTTACCCTCTCCATTATATTTCCACTCCTCCTCTCCCTCCTCTCTTTACTTTTTTGAGCACTGGAGCTCAAACCAGAGCCTTAAGTTGGCTAGGCAGGCATTCTACCACTTGAGCCACTCCACCAGCCCTCTTTTATATTGGGTGTTTTCGAGATAGAGTCGCATGAACTGTTTGCCCAGGGTGGCCTCCAACCATGATCTTCCTGACCTCTGTCTCCCAAGGAACTAGGATTACAGGCGTGAGTCTCCTGCACTCAACTTCCTCCTCCCTTTTCCACACAATGTCTGGAGGGTTTCATCATGCTGTCTTTATGTACATTTACAAAGTATATTTCCATCTTGTTCACCCCTCAGTATCCTTTCCTTTCCCTCTCCTGCTGTCCCCCTCCAGACAGTACCCCATTTACATTCATGTCCCATTATCATCATCACCGTTGCTTTAGGTCTAGGTTCCACAAATAAAGAATATGAAATTGCTCATTTTTTGTTGAAGCATATTGAAAACACATGTCCTTTAAAATGAAAACTTTACAAGCATAGGCGAATTTTTTAAAAGACTGGTCTCACCATATACCCCTGGCTGGCCTTGAACTTACTGTGTAGCGCAGGCTGGTCTTGAACTTGAGATTCTCCTACCTCAGCCTCCTGAGTGCTGGAATTATAGGTGTGTACTGCTACATCTAGCTCCACAATTTAAATTTTAAGGCTTTTCCTCAGCTTAAAGATTATATTGGTGAATTTAAATGCTTTTAAACTTTAACCTGTTTCACATAATCCTGACTAACTTCATATCTATATTAAAAAATAAAAATTAAATCATTGCTAAAAGTGAAACATTATCAATTTAAGAGAAGGCTAATGCTCAGAAGTAGGACTTCTGCTTACTTTTATTTTTCTCAATTGTAGGTGAAGTATTTGACTATTTGGTTGCACATGGACGAATGAAGGAAAAAGAAGCAAGAGCTAAATTTAGACAGGTATGAATTCAAATGTCTTTAATTTGTTAATTGAATAAAGTTACTTGCTAAACTCTTAAGGAAACAAGGGTTTGCTTCTGTGAATGTTCATAAGGTCCATTGGATGGAGCTTGGGTTGGCTACTCAGTTCAACAAAAATTTATTAAGTACCTTTCATGCCTTATGCACTATGCTTCAGATAGCCATGGGCTCTCCTCAAGCATTGTAAATGAGACATCAGTCTCACTCTTAACCTTGGCTTTTGATAGGTGAACGTTAAAAATCTAGAGCCTTTCAAAGACACCTGTGATTGCATTAATTAAAACCATTTCAGCTAGACACAAGTGGCTCCTACCTCTAATACTAGTTGCTTGGGAGGCTGAGATCTGGAGGATTTCAGTTTGAATTCAGTCTAGGCAAATACTTCTTGAGGCTATCTCCAGAAATAACCAGAGCAAAATGGACTGGAGGCCTTGCTAAAGTGGTAGAGTGCGTGCTTTGTGACAAAGCACAAAGCATTGAGTTCAAACCCCAGTCTCACATGCACACATAAAAAAACAGTTTCAGAGCTTTTAGCAAGAGGAGTGTTACAGTCCCAAAATTCACTTAGATTTGTCCTACATAAGCCAAGACCAAATATAATTTAATCTGTTATTGACTTAAAGTCTTTACCCATTGTTTAAAAAGACTCATTTTAATATGCTAGTTTTAAGCACAAAGGTGATGTAATTTTGTCTTTATTAATACTATTTTTTGTTGTGTGTGTGGTACTAGGGTTTGAACTTGGGGCTTCCCACTTGCTAGGCAGGCATTCTACCACCTGAACCACTCCACCAGTCCTTAATAATTATTGATTGATCATTACTTGCCAGATACTGGAAGAAGTGCTTTATATTAATGTAAATCTTACAGCAGCCTTGGGGGTTAAGGAGTATTAAGCCTATTTCTAAAGATAGAAAACTGGGGTATGGAAGATTAAATAACTTACCCAAACTTTCATGTGTGCCATAGATTGAGACCTAGGTGCTTTGACTCGAAAATTAAATCTGTTAATGATTGCATTGTGCTGTTATGCAGACTAGGAATCACCAGACTGTTTCCTTTGTGTGTATATGGGTGTGTCGGGGTAACTGGGATTTGAACTCAGGGCCTCACACTTGCTAGGCAAGCACTCTACCACTTGAGTCACTTTTCCAGCCCTGTTTTGTGTTGAATATTTTCAAGATAGAGTCTCACGAACTATTTGCCCTGACTGGCTTCAAACTGCCATTCACCTGATCTCTGCCTTCCAAGTAGGTAGGATTAGAGGCATGAGCTACCAGCACCGGCTACCAGGCTCTTTCTGAAAAGGACCAGACAGCTCATATTGTAGGATTTGTGGGCCATATGGTCTCTGTCACAGCTATTTATCTCTGCTCTTATAGCATAAGACAGGTAATACTGCCCAAATGAATGTGATGGTATGCTAATAAAACCTTTTTTGATTTGGAAGAACAGAGAGACGTATAACTTAGCCCATAAGTCATATTGTGCCTGGCCTCAAAGTTGTACGTTTCGATGGCCTCATTTCTCTCAAAATAACCAAGAAACATAGTTTCACATGTTTGGAAAGGCAGTTTCAGCTGATTTTTAAGTTTTCTCTTAACAGTGTACCTCCCTCGATCTTCTCAGTTTGATACTTATAATTAAGGACTCATCTATCGGTTTAACTGTTGTTGCTTAGATTTAATCTAAATGCTTAAATACTAACAGTACTTTGAGTTTTAAAAAAAATCTATTAAATAGCAAAGTTGAAACTGTCATTTAACTTCTCTGATCCCCAAGTTTTAGCTGTAAAAAAGAGGGAATTACACTTGATGAATTTTGTAGTTCTTTCCATTCCAAATATCATTTAATTCTATGGTCCATGAAAGGAAACTCAAATTCTTATTAGAAAATACGTCTGCTTTACTTCTTCTATAACTGTATTCTTTTGGGAGGTGGGGAGCAGTACTAGGGTCTGAACTCAGGACTTTTTGTTTATGAGGCAGGTGCTCTACCTCTTGAGCCGCAACTCCAGCCCCTCTAATATTCTTAATTTTTATAAATTGACCATCTAAAAGCCAAAATATTTTGCCTTGTGCAGTTTAAATTTCTTCCCCAGAAGAATCTGACTTGGAGCTGTTTTCATGAATGTGGTCTGTTAAACCATGAGGAAAGGACTGGTGGCAGCCAGAGAGAGCAGGCCACTCCTGAACCCTCCCCAGATGGCAGTTCAGGGACTGGAACACATTCCCATCCTCCACCATCCCCCTAGCTCAGACTTGTCAGTCTTGTGGAAATTACTCAGATCCTTTATTGTAAGGATCTGCAGAAATAGTGAAGCCTTTATTCGAGGAACCTACTAGTTGGACCAGGAAAGATGGTTTATGTGTGTGCACCCTTGCAACTAATGACTTGATTTGTCATACATAAAATTAATGTCATCCCAGGCTGGTGACATAGCTCAAGAGGTAGAGAGCCTCCCTAGCAAATGGCATGTCCCTTAGTTCAAACCCCGGTACTACCCGAAAAATAAATAAATAAAATTGTTATCCGTTCTCCTTGCTTGTGGAGAAGGCTCCTTTAGGGCTGAAAGAATCAATCATAATATTGTTTCCACTTTTCTGTTTGTAATACCATACTTTCTAGGAGCTTATAAGTCATCACGCTGATTTTTAAAAAGAAAAGGTTTCCTGTTTATATCAAAGAGGAAAGTATGCTGCACACAAAGTTCACTGACTGTGATCCATTTATGCCACAAATGGGCCCTTTATTCCATTTTCATCAGCACATAGCATTTTCTCTTCTTCCTTCATCATTCCCATCCTTCTTACTGCTTATGCCATTTTAATTTTTTTGGTTGAGCTCTTGTTCTTTTTGAATAAAAAGAACAGATTCCTGACTCCACCTTCTTTGATTGCCTCAGTCTTGGTGGACTAATAATGATGATGCCTCTGTTGTTTTCTGGATGACCAAGAGAGAATTAGGCTAGTGTTCTTTCTTTAACCTAAAAACATCCAGACTCCACCTTGTTTAGAAGTAACTGCTCCTAGCTTAATGACAGAACACATACACACACAAAAATATTTTTAAGGTGAATATTTTCAGGTTATTGTGACATCAGGTTAGCTTTGAGATATTTACTGCTAAACGAAGAGAAATGATCTGGGAAAGTTCGGGAAATTTGCAAATGTGATCCAAAACCAGAATTTGAAAATAAACTACAAGAGAAATCTTAATATTAGAAAACAAAATCAGAGGGATAAAGTCATAGCAGTCCTGACTGCAAAAGAAGAAATGATTAGAGCAAGGTAGCATTTACCTGTGCCCTAGGTAAATTTTTGTTTTAGGAAAACAAAAGCTATTTCACTTTTTCTGTTTTCACACTGACAGAATCGAGCAGCAGCAGTAGTAGTATTAAAGTAACAGATGCTCTAAAACCCATATTTTGGCATTGGAATCTTTGTGCCTTTAATTGATTATGAGTGGGTCTCATATTAAATATTCATTTTAAATAAAGTAGTGAAGCTGCTTGGTAAAGCTCTGATTTGGGCATCATTCCACTCTAACCCTGGCCCAGCTTTTCCTTGCTGCTGATTTTCGACCAAAATATGGAATAGACCTCTCTGAGATTTTTATGACCAGGGTAGGTGGGTTCATATGGTTTATGATTAAGGGCTGGTGATGATTTGGAAAAAACAAACAATATTCTCATTGTACCCCGGGTCTGTATAGTCATAGTCATATCCATGTAAATTCACACACAAAATGCTAATGAAAAAACTAGACCAAATAGGACAAAATAACATGAGATGTTATCTCTTCTTGGTGGTAATACAGGCATATACTTATACATTCTTTTCTGCATTTCCTTAAAATTTCTCTAATGAGCATGTAAAACTTTTATAAATAGAAAAAGAGGCTTTTCTGTTACTAGTAATTGTGAAATTTCAATAAAACAATTGTTTAACAATGTAAATCACAGAAATCATTGCAAATTGTCTAAATAAAAGCAAATTACTTGCTGAAAATAGAAGGAATCCTTATTAAGAATGTGCATAGTAGTTTTTAAAGTTTATAGTTCACATAAGGAACAATATTAGTTCGTCCATTTTAAGGAGAACAAAACTGACCCTCAAGAAGTTAAGTGACTTGTACTTTCCTCAGATCCACATCAGCTAATGCAGCTTGGATAGTCTGTAACTGCTGGTTTGGTTGTGAGTTGATTTCACAGGCATTGAAAGTTGCCCCATTCTGGGATGCAGTGTCTCATGCCTATAATCCTATCTATTTGGGAGACCAAGATTGGGGGATCATGGTTCGAAACCAGCCTCAGGCAAATAATTCATGAGACCCCCCCCCATCTCCAAAATAACCAGAGTGAAATGGACTGGAGGTGTGGTTCTAGCAGTAAACCATCTTCTCTGCAAGTGCAAAGCCCTTCGTTCAAACTCCAGTCCCACCAAAAAGGAAGGAAGAGAGGAAGAAAGCAAAGAGAAAAGAAAAGAAAGTTGTCCCAGAGCCATTTGGTCCTGGCACCACTGAAAAATAAATGGAATGTCAGCAGGTAGGATCCAAGAAGAGACTTCCAGTTAAAACCAGAGAAAGCAGGAAGAAATCCTCACTTTCCTTTTTTTGTTTTGTTTTGTTTTGTCTCATTTTTTGAGAGAGGGTCTCACTATGTAGGCTGGCCTCACTGCTCTCTTTATTGCTTTCACCCTTAAATTTCTCCAGATTGAAAAATTCAAAGCATAAGAAAGTTGTTTACAGAAATCCACACATTCAAGTGCTTTCTGAGTATTTTGCATGTGGGAACATTAATGAAGTCTTTCATTTTAATTATGAATCTGCACCAGTGGTGACTAACCCTTGCCTCTGTCCAGATTGTGTCTGCAGTACAATATTGCCACCAAAAGCGGATCGTTCACAGAGACCTCAAGGTGAGTCCAAGTGCATTTGCTAAGTGATTGTTCAGTTCTCTTTTCCACAAATGAGGCATAGATTTGATTGTGTTATTAAATAAGAAAAAATAAATCTTAAAATAATTGAATCCTTTTCATCACGTTAAATAGTAAAGAGCATTAAAGATAAAGAATTATGAAGTTCATTAAAAATATTTAATAGTTCAGTAAAGGTGACTACTAGCTAGTTAATCTCTGACAGCCAAATAGATGGAGGGCCCCCAGAAATGTACTGCACACCTGGGTAGTGGGCACTTGTTTCTGTCCCCACATAGGCATTCCTGGCCTACACTTCTGCCTCCCCTCAAAGGTGGAGGAGGTTGTAGGGCTCACAGAGCAGGCCCTCTGTGAGCTGCACCCACAGGCAAGCCCTCACTTCCTTCTTTTTTTTTTTTTTTTTTTTCTTTTTCTTTTATTATTCATATGTGCATACAAGGCTTGGTTCATTTCTCCCCCCTGCCCCCATCCCCTCCTCACTTCCTTCTTGTTATAGGAGCATAGACACCTCTGCTGCCCCTGCCCTGTGTCTGGCCCCTGGCTCCCTCTGGACCTGCGCTCTATCTGCTGTATATCTGCTACAGTTCTTCCTTTACTCAGCGGCAGTTCTATTTGTTTAAATCTTTTGTCTCTTAAAAAAAACCTTTCCAGCCCAGCCCTTCCAGACCCACCCTCTTTCCACCTTCACAGCACATTCTCTAAACCTCTGTGCTCTCCTCATGGGATTACTGTGCACTCACTTTCTCTTCTCAGCACTCAGTGATGAGCGCATACGCTTTTTCTAGCAGCTACAGTGACCTTCTGTGTGCTGATGGCCCCCACTCCGTTCCTGCAGCTAGAGTTCTCCTTCACCCAGAAACCCTAGCAAGTGGGCATCTTCAGGGTGGGCGGAGTAACTCAAGTGGTAGAGCTCCTGCCTAGCAAGTGTGAGGCCCTGACTTCAAACCCCATTACCACAAAAAGAAAAAAGAGGGCATCTTGAACTGAGTGTCCCTTGGGCACCTTAGGTACAGCCAGTTCAAAGCCAGAGCATCTACCTAAACTGAAGTGCATATTTATTTCTGGTGACTGATATTCCTCAGAGGCCTCTACTTAACATTCCACTCATTCACCCCATCCTTTTGCTACTGTTCTTAAATGTCTCTTTTACCCAGTTCCTGTTCTCCAAGGCCAGACCACTATCACCTCATACTTGATTACAACACTAATGTTTTGCCTCTGCTTCCAATTTTACCTCTTCCTCCTGTGTTATAGAATTGCCTTAAAAACACAAATGAAGCTGGGAGCTGTAATCGTAGCTACTCAGGAGGCAGGAGGATCACGGTTCGAAGCCAGCCCAGGTACATAGCTTGCCAGACCCTACCTAGAAAAACCCATCACAAAAAACGGGCTGGCACAGTGGTTCAAGGTGTAGACCCTGAGTTCAAACCTCAGTACCACAAAAAAAAAAAAAAAAAAGAAGCCAGGTGCCTGTGGCCAACACCTGTAATCCTAGCTACTTGAAAGGCTAATATTGAGAAAAATCACAGTTCGAGCAAAATGGACTGGAGGTGTTACTCAAGCAGTAGAGCGTCTGCTTTGCGAATGTAAAACCCTGAATTCAAACACGAATCCCACCAAAATAACAAAAAAATAAAGAGAGAGATTGTTATTTTTCTGCTTAACTCTTTAATGACTTCTTGCCCTCAGTATGAAAACCCAAACTTCTGAGCACAGCTCACTCAGTGTCTATTTTGGTTTGGTCCCGGCAGCCTCCCCAGCCATCTCTCTCTTTCAGGTCCTTCAGAGAAACGTGCTCCCTTTCTACTCTGGGTTTTAAACTCTTTATTCTGCCTGAAAACATCCCTTGCAATCAGCTGCGCCTTCTCAGGCTTCAACTTTACTTACTCTAGGAAGCTGCCCTGTCTTTTATAGTGCTTAGCCCATGGCTTGTGACTCCTTTGTCACAGTGCTCGACTTTCAGGGCAGCTGCTTATTTTTCTGCCTTTCCCCTTCTACACTGTGAGTTCCTGAGGGCAGAGCCCTGTTTCACTCATCATTGTACATCCAGACATCCATCTAACATCTGCTTTGTGGAAGCCACCTAGTACCTGTTGGTTAAGGTAAATGAAGATGTCTCTGATTTGTCTCTTGAATGAGGTTAGGTATTCTCCCTCCCTGTTAATACCCATTTTTATAGCTATTTAACAGTTTTTATGAAATGTTCTCTGCACTTAAAGCAAATACCTATATTTTTTAAAAGCCCCTTACTCTTTTTCTTTTTTTTCCTCAAATACTTAGGGAAGCTCCTTACTAGGTGAAAAGGCTTAGTTTTTCTTTACCTTGGGGTATCTGATATTTAAATTTGTGTTATAATTGATCTGTGTTTAATGTCTGTGATTGTTAGTGTTGCAAAACTAGTAGTCCTAGTTTATCTCCTGTTTTTTTCTCTAGAAAGAGTTTTCTCATTAATCAGGAGACAATAGCTTTATGTTGTAGCAAAAACTTTTATGAAATGCCTAATCCTATCATAGTTATGAATGTATTTTAGTTAAGTTTCATTTTTGTCTTGATGTTTTCCCTCTAGGCTGAAAATCTATTGTTAGATGCGGATATGAACATTAAAATAGCAGATTTTGGTTTTAGCAATGAATTTACTGTTGGCAGTAAACTAGACACATTTTGTGGTAGTCCTCCATATGCAGCCCCAGAGCTCTTCCAGGGCAAGAAGTATGACGGGCCAGAAGTCGATGTGTGGAGTCTTGGCGTCATTCTGTACACCCTTGTCAGTGGGTCACTTCCCTTTGACGGGCAAAACCTGAAGGTATATGAAGCAGTTGCAGCTATGATGTTCATAAAACTAAGAGGATTTTTATTGCATGGATTAATATTTTTAATGTTTGATCAGTATGGGGGTTTCAGTGGGCTCTCATGGTTTTTTTTTTTTTTTTTTAAAGCCTGAAGGGGGTTGACTTACTAGTTTTCTTTCTTGTCTACATCCCCAAAGGAACTGAGAGAGAGAGTATTACGAGGGAAATACAGAATCCCTTTCTACATGTCCACAGACTGTGAAAACCTTCTCAAACGTTTCCTGGTGCTGAACCCTGTTAAACGTGGCACTCTGGAGGTACCCACACCAGTGGGAAGGAAGAGTATTTGCAGAACTTTGCTTGGTTTGCATGACATACAGAAGGCTTGCCTGGGGCTTTTGAAGCAGGAAGTGAAACCAAAAACAACTTTTTTAGGTTACCTTTTGAGCTAGAATCAATGAAATGTTGAAAATAAGTATTACTGAAGAAGGAAGTACGTTAGTCACATGCTGAGTGGCATGCTCACGACCCTGGGTCTGGAGATGGCATGTGGAGACGCCAGGGTTTCTTCCCAGCCCTACATTGTTGGGTAGGAGTGCCACCTTTAGGAAAGCATGCCCACCCATCCCAGTGAAAAATCCTACTAAAGATGACACTGTAAGAAAGAAAATAGAAGCCATGTTTTGAGGATCTGTATTACAGGTGCTTTATCAGTTTGTAAGACATGTTCTGAAATAGCCAGCAGTTTGGTTCTGGATCTCTGAATCATGTAATTACTTGAATAATGAGGTTTTTTTTTTTTTTTTAATGACACTGGGGTTTGAACTCAGGGCCTCATGCTTGCTAGGCAGGCACTCTAACCTCGTATGTAGTTATATGGACAAATAGGACTCTGTCTTGAGATAGGTGGAAGGAAAAAAATCAGTCACAATATTTTCTCTAGCAGCAAATGAAGTATGGGTACAGCAAAGTATACCAAATGGATGCTACCAGTCAAAAACATGGCACAGAATATCAGTGTTCCAACCAGGCCTTTGACCTGTGACTTATCCACTGAAGGTATGGTTCAAGTGGTAGAGTGCCTGCTTTGCAAGCATGAGTTCAAACCCCAGTCCCACAAGAAAATCTTCAGCTAGGAACTGGTGGCTCACATCTGTAATCCCAGCTACTTGGAGGCTGAGATCAGAAGGATCATGGTTCAAAGCCAGTCCAGGAAAGTAGTTCATGAGACCCATCTCTAAAATAACAAGACCAAAATGGACTGGAGATGGGGTCCAAGTGGTTGAGTGCCTACTTTGCAAGTGTGAAGCTCTGAATTCAAACCCCAGCCCCACCAAAAAAAAAAAAAAAAAAGAAATGCGATATATCCATATGTGACAGGGGGTCTCTAATCTAGGAGGAAGAGAATGTAGGCTATGGTAAATATATGGATAGAAATAATGTGAGGCAACAAACAACAGTCATAGCTGATAACATATTTCTGAGTGACCAGACAAAAGGCATAGGATGGGGAGGGGAGGAATGAAGGAGAATGGTAGAGGGGTGAATTCAAGTACGATATACTTCATAACGTTGTAAGAACTTTTGTAAATGCCACAATGTACCCCCACCCAATACAACAGTTAGAGAAAAAAAAAAGGCATAGGATGGACAATTATTCTTTGGCCAGTGTTTAGTACAGTCTCGTTTCCAAATCATGCATAGTTTTTAAATACAAGGACAGAGATTAAAATGATTTCTCCTAAACATTGTGATTATTGGGGCATTTTATTTTATGCTGCTAATGAACAGCTCCCCTTTTCAGCAAATCATGAAGGACAGATGGATCAATGCAGGGCATGAGGAAGATGAGCTTAAGCCATTCGTCGAACCAGAACTAGACATCTCAGACCAGAAAAGAATAGGTAATTACTCTGTATCTGCATGTTTGTGTAAGTAATGTATTTGTTTTGACTCCTGTGTGTATCTTGCAAATGGGAATGAAGGGAAGTTAAGCACAGAATTTGCAGATTTGTTCTTTTTCATAGTGTTTGGGAGCTTAGTACCTGCAGTTTCCTATACCAACATGCAGTAGCTCAGAAAGATAGTCACCTGTTCATTTATGTTAGTAAATGGATAATCTTTTAGGTCAAATAAAATTATTTTACCCTGTAGCACAATTATTTCATATCCATATAAATCTCACTTTATTCTTCTTTTAGATATTATGGTGGGAATGGGATACTCACAAGAAGAAATTCAAGAATCTCTTAGTAAAATGAAATATGATGAAATCACAGCTACGTATTTGTTGTTGGGAAGAAAATCTTCAGAGGTAAGATGAATCAGAAAGGTATAATATATACACACATACAAACGTACTTGATATTTTTCGGTTTTTTTGGTGGTATTAGTGTTTGAACTTTGGGCCTCACACTTGCTAGGCAGGCATGATACCACATGAGCCACTCCACCAGCTCTTTTTAAAAATCTACCTGCAATTAACAAATCTGACTCCTTTGGCCATTATGAGCTAGTATTTTAACTTCCAGATAATAACCCTTTATCAAAAACTTGATATTATCAAAAACTTGAGTACTCATAAATTAACATGTAGTTGTTAAAAATTTGAAAAGGATATAAAGTATCAAAATAAACAGAGCATCTTTAGTTATTTGAAAAAGCCTAGAAACAAGATCATTAATACATAACCTTTTGTGCGTTTTCCTAGCAGTTGGAAAAATACTTTTGCCTGAGTTTAGAGTTGTCCTTCTGTACATCATGTTCATGAGAGGTTGTATGTGTCCTGACAAGTTGAGTTCCTAACACACCACTGGGATCCATATGCCTGCTGTTCTTGTTCTCCTGCCACTCTTCTCATTCTCCCATAGCTGGACGCTAGTGACTCCAGTTCTAGCAGCAACCTTTCACTTGCTAAAGTGCGGCCAAGCAGTGACCTCAGCAATAGCACTGGCCAGTCTCCTCACCACAAAGTACAGAGAAGCGTTTCTTCAAGCCAAAAGCAGAGACGGTACAGTGACCATGGTAGGTCCAATACTGTTCCAACAACTTCTCTGAAAGTGTCTTCTTGCATAGGGCCTAGGAGGTTGGAAGTTAGCTCAATGTTCCTTCCTAACATTTCTAGGGACTCCTACCAGTACTGGCATGATTCAGGCTTTGACCTTCTTGGTACATTCAGTGGGCTTTTTGCTGGATAAGGCTCAGCAGAGTGAAAACCTCACCCTTCATCCTCTGACACCCTACCACAGTCTGTAGTTCTGCTCATCTCTTCACCTGTGCCTTGGGTTCACTGTCTGCAGCAGCACTGTTAGTGGAGTTGTTTGTGCTGATGACAGTGTTCTCTATCTGTGCAGTCTGGAATGATAACTTAGAGCTACAGGAGGCTATTGAGCATTTGAGCTGAGAAAGTGACTTGCAGGGTTTTGGACAGTGGCTACTATCACTGAACAGGGTAGCCCTAGAGAATATGTAGTACCCCAGTTTTGCCTTAATAGGATCAAATTTTTACTGTGTCACTCATATCCACATTCTTGCTGTTGGTGTAGTTAAGCCACCCTCCCTCTTTTTTGTTGTGGTACTGGGGTTTTGAACTCAGGGCTTCACACTTGCTGGGCAGGCACTCTGCTGCTTGAGCCACTCCTTCAGCTCTTTTTTGTGTTGGTTATTTTTGAGATAGGGACTGATGAACTATTTGCCTAGGCTGACTTTGAACCTAGATCCTCCTGATCTCTGCCTTCCAAGTAGCTAGGATTACAGGCATGAGCCACTGGTGCCCAGCTGGTGTTTTTTTTTTTTTTTTTTTTTTTGAGACAAGGTCTCATTGAACTCCTTTCCCTTTGACTTCAGCCTCCTGAGTGCTGGAATTACAGGTGTCTATCAACACGGTTGGCTTTGGTGCTGATTTTTTAAGATTACTGCTAGGTACCATATCTGATACTCTAGCTTTCATGTTCTTTTCCAAATTCTTTGAACTCCAGACATCCTGTGATACCATTCAGGGTCTCCAGATGGCTTACTGCAGGACACCAGTAAATTGTCTACTCTGGTCATCTCTGGGCAATCTCCTGGATATGACCAGGAACCTCTGCCTGCTTTCTCCTTGTTGCTTGCAGGAGGAAGGTGTTTTTCTTTGCTTCTACCACCTTCCCCTGTCTACTAATATTCCCTTTTATGTAGAAGATATGAGTGAATTTTTTTTTTAAATGTAAGATAAAATTGCAAAAGAAATGATCCATGAAGCCAGGCACCAGTGACTTTTACCTGTCATCCTAGCTACTTGGGAGACTGAGATCAGTAGAATCACGGTTTGAGGCCAGCCTAGACAAGTAGTTCTCAAGACCCTATCTCCAAAATAACCACAGCAAAATGAACTGGAGGTATAACTCAAGCGATAGAGCACCTGCTTTGTAAGCTAGAAGCCTTGAGTTCAAACCCCAGTCCCACCAAAAAAAAAAAAATCATGCAGGAAATCTGTACTGTTCTGTTCTAGAAGGTGAAGGCATCTCTTGTTCAAAAAGGATGGAATATGCTCAGATGTACCGGGTGTGCATCTCGTTAGTTTCAATGGCTATACAGTGACATCCCCCTTAAGTTATTTCCAAAGGATAATTCTAGACTTAGTGACTATTTAAAAAAATCTTTTAGAAAAGTAGAAATTTAGTGAATGAGTAAAATTTCAATATTAGATTTATTTTATAGTATAAGGTAAACATCTAAATAGAAAACATCTTAGGTGATCTACACTTTTTAGATGAACAGTTGTCTTAGGTCATCTTACAAAATATGTTCATTTTCACAGAATAAAATGTGAAACTGTTGTGTCTTTTAAAAAGTAAACTCTTTTTCTTGTTTTCATTGTGGTGCTATTTGTGCTATGTTTGTTTTTTTTTTTATTGTTGTGCTGGGTGGGGGTACATTGTGACCTTTACAAATGTTCTTACAATATATCAACTGTATCATACTTGAATTCACCCCCAAGAGTGAACTCTTTATTGTAGCTGGACCAGCTATACCTTCAGTTGTGGTATATCCAAAGAGGAGTCAGACCAGCACCGCAGATAGTGACCTCAAAGAAGATGGAATTCCCTCCCGGAAACCAAGTGGCAGTGCTGTAGGAGGAAAAGGAATTGCTCCTGCCAGTCCCATGCTTGGGAATGCAAGTAATCCCAATAAGGCAGATATTCCTGAACGCAAGAAGAGCCCTGCTGTCCCCAGTGTAAGTGTTACTGATCTGTGGAGCAATCCTAGGGTTGTTGGGCTGGAACCAACTAGAAACGGTTGTCACCTGTTTTTCCAGGAGTCCATCCATTTCACTTCTTTGTTCTCTGTCTGCATCCCCTTCCCACTAGACCACCATGCCCATTCTCAGCCTATACAACTTCTGCTTGCTACATTGTATTTCTTGTTGACCTCTCTGTCTGGGGTCTTTCCTGCAGCTGTTATTTCACAGTTCTAGAGGCTGTGAAGTCCAAGGTCAAGGCATCAGCAGGTTACCCTGTGATAATGGCTGTTCTCTGCTTCCAGAGGCTGCTGTTTCCCTGTTGCTGCATCCTCCAGAGGAAGGAACACTGTGTCCTCAAACAGCAGGGGGCAGTTTCTCCCTGACAGCGCTGGGAATTGAACCTGAGACCTTGCACATGCTGAACACACACTCTACCACTAAACCACATCCTTAGCCCTCCCTCATACCCTTTTATAAAGCATTTTATAAAGCACTAATAATGCCATAAAAGTCCCAGTTCTTAATACTGTTACATTGGGTATTAAGTTTCACCATGAATTCTGGAAGGACACAAGCATGCAAACTACAGTATACCTCCCAAATTAAGTGAATGGCCAGGTTCTGCATGTCAGGGGCTCTGTGTAGTTATTCATCTACTGATACAGGTCATGTCAGTACTAACAGATGGAGAGACAGAAGTCACTAAAAACAGTGGCAATGCAAACAGGTGACAACAGGCAGAAAGCTGTTGTGCACAACTCCAGGAAGTTGACCACGTTGTTCCAGGGAGAGTGAGTTTGCACTGAAACCTTCTGTGTGGCAAGGACCATGAACTTGGTAAACTGTAAGGAAAAGAAAATGAAAGAAAGCTATATAATTGCCTGAAGTCATACAGCTGACCTGAGTCTAGCTCTTAATCCCTATCCTTAATAAAATGTCCCCAGTGAGTAGATAGTACTTGTTAAATTAAATTGAATCTATTCAAAGAAGCCTTTCCATAGATTAAAGTGCTTCTATATGACCTAATATAGTAATTATTATTCATAGTACTTATACAAGTAACTTTGGAAAGAATTTGCAGAGATGTGAGCAAATCTTAAGGTTGTTTTGTAAGCATTTTTTCACTATAGAATCAACAGTTGTACAGTCCTTCCTCCACTCCCTAGAGAGGAGCCCCCTGGGAAGCCTGCTGCTCCCTTTGGGAGCCCTTGGTTGTGTCCATCTGGGACCAAGGGTTCATAAAGGATCCCAAGGGGTTTTGTCTATTTGCCTAGTCAGAATAAACCCTGTGTTTAAAATATTTGTATTTGTATTTGTATTTTGGCTTCTGAATACCATAAAGTGGAATTGTCATTCCATAACCCTATTTAAATTCAGTCTCCAACTCTTTTTGACAGTTATCAGAAAAGATAAGGACTTCATTCTCTGCCTTTGACATTCCATCCCTATTTTTCTGTATGCTGCCCTTCTGAAAGTATGTCCTGAGCATTATCAGTCACCCATATTTGCCTTTTTACAAGAGAGAGGAGTAATCAGCAACTGTACTAGTTAGCTTGAAGTTACTATAACAGAATACAGAATACCTGGGCTGGTGGAGTGGCTTTAGCAGTAGAGCACCTGCCTAGCAAGTGTGAGGCCCTAAGTTTAAACCCCAGTGCCACCAAAAAACCTAAGAACTTCCCACTAGGCCTCAGAGGTCCCACAACTTCCCGATAGCTGCACCCTAGGAACCAAGCCTTTAATATATGGACTTTTGGGGGACATTTGTCCAAAGCACAGCAATAGCGTTACTGTAATTTTCTCCCATTAGTGCAGAGTTTCAGTCTACAGTATCCACTCATGCTGTACTAAAGGCTACTTTATCTTTGGACTCAGTTGCAGAGATCTTACATATCATGTACAGGGTCTTGGGTTCCATCTCCAGCACCATGAAAAAAAGATTGTAATAAAAACAATTATCTGATAAAATCCTTCATTATGATTTTTGCTCTTTGCAGTTTAGTGTTTTTTATTTTGAAAGTTAAATTGATATGAAATCCACATGACATACAATTAACCAAGTATACAACTTGGTGGTGTTTAGTATACTCACAGTGTTGTGCAACCATCATCTTTCTCTAGTTTCAGAACTTTCCAACATGGCAGAACACCCTACATCCATTCAGTAATTAATTAATCATTTCCCATTCCTGTTCTGGTAGCCACTACTCTGTTTTTTATCTGTCTAATTTGCCTGCTCTGAATGTTTCATATAAATGGAATTATGCAGTATGACTACATTTTATATATGACTCTGTGTGTGTGTGTTACTGAGGTTTGAACTCAGGCCTCAGGCTTGCTAAGGCAGGCGCTCTGACACTTGAGCCACTCCATCAGCCCTTGTGTAAGACTTCTTTTAATTCAGTATAATATTTCAAAGTTCATCCAAATTATAGCATGTAGCAGTTCTTTGGTCCTTTTTAAGCTCAGTAATATTCTGTTGTGTGTACAGACCACAATTTATCTGATCACTCACTGATAGACATTTAGGTTATTTCTACAAATGTTTGTGTACAGGTTTGTGTGGATTTAGGTTAGGTTTTCATTTCTCTTGGATATATACCTAGGGATAAAATTGCTGGGTTTTGCTGTAATTCTGTGTTTTAACTTTTTGAGGAATCACCAAACTGTTTTCGACAGCAACTGCATCATTTTAGATTCTTTCCAGCAGTATATGAGAGTTCCTGTTTCTCCACATGCTTCCGAACACTTCTCATCTTCTTTTGTTATTTAAACTATCTCCTAGTTGGTCTGAAGTGGCATCCTAGAGATTGACTGGAGTTTGAAGTCAGGGCTTCACACTTGCTAAGCAAGTGCTCTTATCACTTGAGCCATGCCCCCAAACTCACTCTGTTTTGGTTATTTTTCTTCCTTCCCTTTCCTTCCCTTTCCCCTTTCCCCTTTCCCCTTTCCCCTTTCCTTTCTTTCCACATTCAATTATTAGTTTTATTGTAAGTATTTCATTTTACAGTATAAATCATAAAAGATTAAGACTATACACACCAGTGTCTACAATCTAGGGATAATTATTGGGGTCTTTTTTAGGTGTTTTTTTTTTCTTTTTTGACAGTACTGGGGTTTGAGCTCTGGGCTTCCTGCTTAGGCAGTCTCTCTTACTGCTTAGGCCTCACCTCCTGCCCAGTGCTTTGTTATTTTTCCAAAATAAGAGTCTCTAGTTTTCCCCCAGCCTGGACCATGATCCTGTTTATACCTCTTGCATACCATGCCTAACTTTTTATTGGTTAAAAAAAAGTCTCACTATCTTTCTCTCCCATCCCCTCAACTGACCTTGAACCAGTGCTTTAACCTCCCAAGTAGCTGGGATTGTAGCCATGAGCCACCACGCCCAGCTGAGTCATCTGTTTTTAAGTTGGGTTGTCATTTTGTAGTTGCATTGTAGGAGTTGTTTATGTATTTATTCACTGGCAGTCCTGGGGATTGAACCCAGGTCCTCACACTTGCAAGGCAAGCAAGTGCTCTAGCACTTGAGCCACACAGCCCCCTCCTGTCCCCAAGTCCTTTTGTTTTTAGATTTTTTTTCCCTTGCATTACTGGGTCATGAACTCAGGCCTACACCTTGAGCCACTCCACCAGCCCTTTTTTGTGAAGAGTTGTTTTAGAGATAGGGTCTCATGAACTATTTACCCAGGCTGAGTTCTAACCATGATCCTCCTAATCGCTACCTCCTGAGTAGCTAGGATTACAGGCGTGAGCCACCAGTACCCAGCTTCCTTTTGCTTTTAGTTTGTTTCTCAGATAGGGTCTTGCACTAATTTTGTCCAGCCTAGCCTCAAGTGGCAATCCTCCTATCTCTGCCTCTTCAGTAGCTGCATTTACAGGAATATGCCACCATACCAGCTTTATGTATTCTAAGTATTAGAATATGGTCAGATATAGGAATTTGCATATATTTTCTCTCATTGTGAAGGTTTTCTTTTCACTTACTTAATGTCTTTTGCCCAAAATAAAGTCCACTTTATTTTTTCTTGTTTGTTCATGCTTTTGGTGTCGTGTTTATGAATCCATTGTCAAATACAGCATTGTGCAGCTATTTATGTCTTAATTTTCTTATTTTATTTGTGTATATATTTATCTTATAATCCTGCCTTTTAATTTTGAAAGTATTTGCTTTTAAAATAGTGGGTCACCCTGATGGCTTTTTTTTTTTTTTTTTTTTTTTTTGGTGGGCCTGGGGTTTGAACTCAGTGCCTCATACTTGCAAAGCAGGTGCTCTACCACTTATTTTTTGCTCTGATTATTTTGGAGATGTGAGTTTCAGGAACTATTTGCTCAGGTTGCCTACAAAGCACTGTCTTCCCAATCTCAGCCTCCCAAATAGCTAGGATAATAAGCGCAAGTCACTAGCACTCAGCTCTCACCCATTTTCAATCTTTTGGCCATTGCTATTGATATTTTAGCATAATTTTATTTAAAGATTGAGTATCCATGTTTATATAGATAAGCTATTTTTCCTCATTGGACTGTAGTTACCAAATAATTTAAGACAAAAATGCCCTTTTCTTACAGAGTAACACAGCATCTGGTGGAATGACGCGCCGAAATACTTACGTTTGCAGTGAGAGAACTACAGCCGACAGACATTCAGTGATTCAGAATGGCAAAGAAAACAGGTATGAAATTTTACTTGTCAACAAGAAAAAATTTTTTCCAAGAGAAATGATAAGTAATGTTATTTACTTATTAGTATTTATAATTAAAATTCAAATAATAATAAGTCTTCTCTGAAGGTAAGTTAACATTGAATACTAATTTTAAGCAAGGATTCCTAATTCTTGTTGTCCAGAGCATTCTATTCCTGGCTTGCTGTGTATGATGAGAAAAGGATTGAGTTAAACCAGGGGATTTTACTTCAGGATTAGATGGTGGACTGTAGAAGAGTAAGTACGGAAACGGTGGTGATTTTGTGCACATTAATAACTTGCACAGGGGCTGGGGTGTAGTTCAGTGGCAGAATGCTGCCACATTAGCATACACATGGCCCTGGGTTTCATCTCCAGCTCTGCAAAAATAATAGCAACTTGAACAGAAATGAAAAGTGGAGGGGTGCAATGGAGGGCTGAGGCAAGGAGCCACACTTCTAGATATGAGCATAATGTAGGGCTCTGAATGTTCTGTGAAAGGTAAACAGTTTGCTACAAAGGTGTAGAGTGTAGAGTTGTGGTGTACCTCTACATCAGAGATTCTTGAGAAGCAGAAATAGAGAAGCCAACATTATCGATGGTTTAAAATACTAACAAGGTCATATGTCTGTATGGAAAGCATCATAACAACTTTCTTGGGATTATGGAATAAGAAACAATAGTCAGAAAAGTAGATCCAGAGACCATGAGGTACTGTTAATTTGAGGGGAAAGAAAAAGAGAGAAGTTTATTTGGTAGAATAAAGTAGTTAAACATGTATTCCATACAGAACATATTTCTTAGACTGATACGGATTTTTCATCTTTATTTTTGGAAGAGTAATATACAAACTAAATTCTGAGTAAGGAGGTAAAGATCAAAGTGAGTCCTGGAGTAGCAATCCATGAAATGAATTCATACCATCTTTATTTTGTCCCCTGGACTTCCAGCTTGAGCATTGTCTACCCATGTGTAGCATAAAAGTGGTTTCTTTTTTTTTCTTGTCATATTAACGTTCTGAAACTGTTTTGAAGGTCTGTCTCCACTAAATCCTATTAGTTAGGCAACATGCATAACCAGTAATCTCTGTGACTTCTTGAGAAAGATCCTTCCCTTGTTAAACCCTATTTGGCATGTCACTGTTCCAGAGGTCACTTAGGGTTGAACTAATGTGAGACTAAGCTTGTAATGTAAAACTGAATTTTTAGTGAATGTTTAATGAATATTTTTTATGAATTTTTAGAACTATTTATACTCTGGTATTCTCTTTTCTGACTCCTGGTCCTAAAAACAGTTGGGCTGAGTTTGGTGGCTCATAGCTATAATCCCACTTGGGAGGCAGTGATCAGGAGTATCACAGATCGAGGCTAGTTAGGGCAGAAAAGGTTAGTGAGAACCCATTTCAACCAGTAAAAAGCTGGATGTGATAGTGTGTGCTTGTCATCCCATCTACACTGAAAGCAAAGTAGGATCAAAGTCCAGTCTAGCCAAGGCATAAACGTGAGACCCTATTTGAAAAATAAAGCAGCCAAGTGCTGGTGGCTTGTGCCTGTAATCCTAACTACTTGGGAGGCTGAGGTAAGGAAGGTCGAGGTCCAAGGCCAGCCTGGGCAAATAGTTCGTGAGACCCCTCTACAAAATAACCAGAGCAAAAATTGACACACTGGCTCACGTAGTACCTGCTTTGCAAACATGAAGCCCTGAGTTCAAACCCTAGTAACAACCAGAAAAAAAAAAGAAAAGAAAGAATAATAAAGCAAAAAGAGTAGGGGGCAAGGCTCAAGAAGTAGAGCATCTGCCTATGAAGTGGGAGTCCCTGAGTTCAACCTCTAGTACTGCCACAAAAAAAAAAAACAAAACTATTTAGAACATAATTGAGTATAGCAACAGGGCTAAGTAGTTCACAGGTAATGATTGGTATATTTATTTCTTAATAGTCTATTGTCTAGTAGATTTTCTTACAGTTCCATTCTAAACTCTTATCAGATTTGTTCTAGTTTGTAAGTGGCATAATAAAAACTAACAGATTACCTGAAGTTTCTACTGGACTAGAAAACTTGTTTCATGGCCTCCTCCTTTTTTAGAAATGCTTCTACATTGTTGAAGTACTCTGTCAGGCTTCTTCTGGAGTTTATTTGTAGAATGTAGACCTTGGCATTCAGACACGGTCTTTTCCCCCCTGTGTCTGCATACCAGTGGCGTGCATTAAGTGCATGTGTGCGTGCAAAAACATGCACATGCCCTGGTCTTCTAATTCACCTTTTATCATTTGATTTGTCTTTGGAAATAGTTTGAAGACTTCTTGAATTCCTTTGGAGTCATTTCCTTTCTGCATTCTCCCTGAAGACACCTTCCTTGTTGGGGCTGATTTCCCCATTCTCCTACTTTGACTGTGTGTGTTGCTTCTCTCAGCATCAGTCATTGAAATACTTTGTTTTTTGAAGATGTTGTCTTTATCTTTAGTCAGAGAGAGCCTCAGTGCCCACACCCTATAAGACAGGGCCTGTAGTTTTAATAATACCTGCATTTTATTTTTCTTTCTGCATTGAAAACTAATGAGAAAAACTGAAAAAGTATTGGATTTGAGGACTGACCTGGTGGTCATATTTTTACTTTCACTTAAGGTACTAAATGTGAAAATTTTCTGTCCCTTAAAGTTGGTGCTTGAGTGCCGTGAGCTGGAGGCTCACGCCTGTAACCCTAGCTACTCAGGAGGCAGAGGTCAAGGAGGATCAGGGTTTGAAGCCATCCAGGCAAATGGTTTGCAAGGCCCTACCTTGAAAATAACCTTTCACAAAAAAAAAAAAAAAAAAAAGGGCTGGTGGAGAGGCTCAAGGTGAAGGCCCTGAGTTCAAGCCCTAGTACCTCAAAAAACAAAAAAAAATTGATGCTTAAGTCCTCGGTGAACTTTCTCTCTGCACAGGTGATTTATTAGAGAGATTGCTGCTTTTTTCTCTCCTTTCCCACCTGCATATCTTAGTCCTTCACTAAGTTAAGATACAAGTGAGCTATATAATGCCTAGGCCTGTTAACTTCTGAAATAAGCACATTGTTCCATTTTTAGCCTTAAATATGTTGGACTCTCTTCCTTATGCAACTATTTATACAGAATTCCAACATAAGAAGGATCATGGCTGATAAAAACTGTGAAGCTTTGAAGGTTTAAACCAAAGGCTGTACATGTCTTAACAAGCCCTAACTACCTTCGAAACCTACTGTGAACATGGGGTACTGTTTTAAGGCTGACCAAATATGGATTTTGTCCTTTTGCCACAGGGAAGAGTAATTGATTTTTAATATATAGGTATTTTCTTTTCAAAATTAGCTTTATGTACTGTTTTTATTAGTACACTCTTTTATCAGCTTTCTTGTGTGAAAAATGAAATTAATCCTTGGAGTCTATGGGATAGTGTGGCTTTTGGCAGATTGTTGCTCTGGAATGAGCACTCATTCTTGTTTTCAGGGAGCCTCATTTTGAAGCCAGGTATGGTGACAGCCTGCCTACTCTGCTGTAGTGTTCCTGGGAATCACTCCACCTTCTAATGATGGTCTCCCAGTTTCAGCAGTTGGCATGAACTCATTAGGAGTAGTATGATTTGATTCTCTCAAGAAATCACTCAGCACAGACATTGACACATAGTGCCCACAAACTGTAGCTTTTGTTACTAATAATAAGCTATTCAGAAGGAATGGGAAGGCTGGGCGCCAGTGGCTCACACTTGGAATCCTCTATACTCAGGATGCCAAGATCAGGAGGACCAGGAGATCAGAAGCCATCCCAGGCAGATAGTTCTGTGAGACCCTATCTTGAAAAATCCCTTCACAAAAAAGGGCTGATGGAGTGGCTCAAGGTGTAGGCCCTGAGTTCAAGTCCCAGTACCGGGAAAAAAAAAATGGTGGAGTGCCTGCCTAGCAAGCATAAGGCTCTGAGTTCGATCTCCAGTACCACCAAAAAAAAAAAATATTATATATATATATATATATATATATATATGTATATATATAAAATTCCAGGCTAGAATCAGGTTCACCTCCTTAGTTCTGCCTCCTCTTTAGTGGTTCAATGACGGGATGCACAGCTACAGACCTGACGTCTTCCCACATGCACTCTACTCTGATGGAGAAGGTTTCAATCTGTGGGGTCTGCCTCTGCTGGCTGAGGTAGCTAGGAAAGTGTGGGGTTGGGTCAGCATCATCTGGACCCCAGGCGCCTAGAGATGCTTCCCTCAAAGCAAAATTGTAGATATTGCTTCCATTGGAAGAGAATGGATTGGGTGGGGAGGACACTGAATAAATTATTCTTTTTAGAGAAGAATATATTTCCTTCTCTGCCTACATATTGCCACTCTCCCAAGGCAGAGTGGGAAATTGTCAAACCAAAGTTCAGGGACAGCAGCTCTTCTGACCAGTTCATTTCAAAGGTGATGTGATGGCCTACTGGGGCTGTCACAACTGCTGTGGCTAATGGATTAGCCTTTCAGGAGAACATGTGTGAAGCATCTGCTCCTGAGGCCTTCTGGTGACACTAGGGACACACTGATGACACATAGGTCATGCTTGCATGGTACTCCAGCAGGGAAAGGCCACTCCATTACAGTGCAGTGTGTGAGCATAAGCTAAAGACAAGAAGTGACTATACTCTTGGTGAGTACATCGGGGAAGACTATATGGAGTAGGCAACCTTGGAGCTGAAGTTTGAAGAGGGGTTGGAAAGATGCCAGTTCTCCAGGCAGAGAGAATAGCTCCCACCCAATGGTTGACAAAGGGACTACACATAGTCAGGAGAGCCAGAAGGTCGAGGTCCGGGAGGGAACAAGAGAAGTGTAAAGCCTGGAGAGATGGCAGGGGCCAGACTGTAGCACGTGCCTGCCAGAATGAGGGTCTGAGCTTCTTTCTGATGACCCTTTAGAAATGGTATGAGCAGGGAAGTGACAAGGTTAAGTTTGTGTCTTACAAAGTTCCCAGCTGAGTAGTACCTAGATTGGAGATATGGAGGCAAGACAAGGGACACAAGTAAAGAGGAGGGTGAAGCCTGCACTAACCCTGGAGGTGTAGTTAGAGGTGGAGTAGAGGAGCCTCTGAATACCTGCCTGAAAATTGACACCAGCAAGATGTCCCAGTGACCAGGAGATGGAAGGAAGAGGGTAAAGGAAGCACTGCCAGTTTCCAGGATTCAAGCTCAAGAAGAATGCCTGCAGGAAGACACTGATCAGAGTCCTAGCCTCTGCCGTCCTTAAAGGAAAGCTGCCGTTCAGAATTCCCATGGACATGAGGTCGGAGCTGGAAATGAAGAAGCATGTGGTTCTCATGACCTACAGGGTAGTTTTGCCTGGAGCTGTCCATACCAGGTGAAACTGCAGGCCTCCACCACCCTGTCGCTGGCTTTCTGTAAACTACTCAGGGGTCTGAGTTTTCTCATCTTCAAAAAGGGGCTCTGTTGACCCATTTGAAATGTTGACTGGTCTTTATGAAGGTACAAATGTCCTTTGAGTAGAGAGGTTCTAAACAATATTGTTTAAACCACATAGGATTCTCTGATGTATAACAACTAGCTTCTATACCCATGATGTCATCCCATCCATTTAAAATGTCAGTGTGTTTTGGGAACAGGTTGAGAGCAGTCTGCTTGTGTCCATACTTGTTTTACCACCTAGATTTGTGTTGAGACATCACTTTTAGAACGGACCTTATTTAGGCAGAGCTTAAAACTATCCCTCTCACATACACAAATAATTCAAACATTTTAGGCTGCCATTTCCTTTAAGGTGATAAACTTTTTAAATGGCTATTTGAAAAAAGTAGCTGCAGTCTAACATTTGCCCTAGAATCCCAGAGACAAGTTTAAGAGCTTCTTATTTTCTGGCAATATGAGGGGATCTGGGGAGGAAGCTGTGTGCTTTAGACAGCAGGCTGCTGTTTGGTCTCTGCTCCATCACACTGTTGTTTCTGCCTCTGCCTGAACCCAAACCCCCTCCCAGCCTGACAGAAGTGTTCGCTTATGCAGCTAGCCCTGCCTCAGTCTGTGCCACATCTTCTACCTGTCGGCTGAGACATCAGAAGTCGATGTCCATGTCAGCCTCTGGGCACCCCAAGATGATGTTACCTCCAATAGACAGTGAAGGAGATAACTTCAAGGCTATGTAAGAAAAATGCACATTCCTTGTGAAACTAATGTGTACCCACTGCTGCTTAATTTTGTGCTGTGGATTTTATAGTCCAAGATTTTGTTAAAGTTGTCCACAAGGTGTCCTTCTTCCATGTGGTTTTGGTTAAATACACCCTGTCTCATGATGTCTGTGGTTGTCTTTGTGTCTTCATGCCTTTATCTACAGAGGGTGTAAGATACCCTTTCTTGCCCCAAGTTGCTTTCAGCATGTGGAATTTTACACTCATACCATTTTTGTGCTTCCAAAATTTTTTGGTTGCCTGTTCAATTACACCTGCAGTTCTTTCTTTCCTTTTGGCACGGTTCTCTGCGTGTAAGCAGTTTGAGAGGGAAAGCTCAAGTTAGCCACTCTCTGTCCTAGAATTTCCCTGCATTAGTCTTGTCCTTGAAAATATACATGTACTATGCCCTTAAGCTCTGTGAGGCTTTGTCTCATGTCCTGTTCCTTTAGTACCCTTTTCCTCTTAACTTATTTTTGCTCCTGTGTCCTTTAAAATGTTCCTTGGATTTGGATTCATTATACCTGATTTTCTCCACTGTGTATTATGATTGTAAATTCTATGTGCCATGATTTTTTGAACAAAGACATCTCTTATTTTTTGCTTCCCTAGCACTATTCCTGATCAGAGAACTCCAGTTGCTTCCACCCACAGTATTAGTAGTGCGACTACCCCTGATCGCATCCGCTTCCCAAGAGGCACAGCCAGTCGTAGCACTTTCCATGGCCAGCCCCGGGAGCGGCGAACTGCAACATATAATGGCCCGCCTGCTTCGCCCAGCCTGTCCCACGAAGCCACACCATTGTCCCAGACTCGAAGCCGAGGCTCCACTAATCTTTTTAGTAAATTAACTTCAAAACTCACAAGGAGGTAAGTGCCTGGTGATGCTGGTTGTACTAAGGGAGAAATGTCTTTCCTATTGTGTAAACCTACTACCTGGATGCTTTTTATTCTGCTCTTAGCTTGTTTCTAGTATGCATGCACGCGCACACACACACACACACACACACACACACACACACACACACACACACAAAGTCTTTACAATCTTCAAAATACAGAGTGCAGCCCTAAAAATTGCCTAGCACTTGGGTGGTTTTTGTTAGTCTTTAATTGCTTTGTCTGTTGATCACACATCTATCTATGACACATGTTCACTGCAGTTTAGCAGGGACCTGGTGCACCATAGCAATCACCAAGGAATGATCTTTCAGAAGAGAAAAACATTTCCTCTTCTCTTGATTGTCATTCAGTAATGGATGTTAAGGATCTCAGAGTCTAAATCTTGAAATCTTCTCCCTCTTGGTCTCAGTAAGTTACCTTTGGAGCAAGGTAACATTCTTAAGTGCTTCAGCTTTACCATTTTTGGTGGGACTGGAGTTTGAGCTGAGGACACTCCACCTCGAAAGCTCAAAGCATTGGGTTCAAACCCCAGTTAAGAAACTTTCTTTAAAAATAAAAAGGAATGGGTCTCAGGATACCCTCTGAGCCCTAGCAGGAATAATGTGTGGCAGTCAGGTTTGTCAAGCTCAGAACAGGTAGCTGTAACTATACACACACTTTGTTCTGTAATGGGCTGCTTAAGACTTGGCACATCATTAAAATCCTCGTTTATTTAATTACCTCCTTTGTGCTTTTTGACATCCTTAGAATATCATTCATAAAAATATCAACTAGTCATTATGTGAATTCTTACTGTGTGCTAAGACATACAGATAGATGTCTGTGGAAATACGTATAACTCATCTTCCACACATAAATGTATGTACATTATGTGCATGTTTATATTACTTGCACATTTATATGACTATTACCTGTACATAATAACATATACAAATATTTCTGTACAAAAGTATAGTTACATGGATGATATATTCCCTGCCCCTTTCTCTGTCTCATATTTCATCCCTCCAATCCACCCTGTGGAGTGATGTTCCCCATTCCATAGAAGAAACTAAGGTATGCTTCAGAGAGATTGAAGCACATGTTCAGATTCAGAAGACCCAGGTCTGCCTGGCTCCAGAAGAGACCCTTCAAGCCCTTGCCTGTGCCCCCCACAGAAAACTTAGTAAGGGCTGCTGTGGGCACAAGTCCTTTGCTCTCATTTTCTACTTAAATTTACTTCATGCATTTAGTGTTTGAATTAAAATTGATACCTGAGATTTCTTGTGAAAGATAGATAGTAAAGGCAGTCATCTTATTTTACAATTTCCAGGCTATTTGTATCTCCCAGGTGAATTGTTTGTTGAGGCGGGTGTCTTGCTATATAGCATAGGCTGGTCTTGAGCTCCTAGCCTGCCTTGTGCTGGCATATACACCCCATCCAGCCTTCTACCCTCAATGTTTTTTCTCTTGTGGGGGGCAGTTGTTTGTTTTCTGGTGGGACTGGAGTTTGAACTCAGTGCTTTTACACTTGTAAAGCAGGTGCGCTAGTGTTTGAGCCCCGCTCCAAGCCCATTTTGCTCTGGTTATTTTGGAAATGGGTCTCACATATTATTTCCCCAGGCTGGCCTTAAACCATTATCCTCCCAATCTCAGCCTTCCAGGTAGCTAGGATTACAGGTGTGAGCCACTGGCTCTTTTTTTTTTTTTTTTTTTTTTTTTTTGACAAATTACTACTCTCAGTCTTAACTCTTTTATTCCATTTTTGTGAAAATTTACAAACTGAGGTCTGTCATCTTCAATTATAGTTTGTTCTTAAAAATAATCTAAATCCTTCCCACTGCAACTTAAACCTCCTTTCCTCCCTTTAGCAGTAATTGTGAGGATTATAGTTGTGGTGCCTGAAAGGCTAAGATGTTGGCACTTAGAAGCTACAAGGGAAGGTTTGAGGGCCCTCTATAGTCAGAAAGAGTGCAGACATTCTCTCCTGGTTCAGGCTTGGCCTGCTCAGAATGCTTTAGAATCTCCCAACCCTCAAGGGAGAAATAGCCCCAGCCCAGGTGCAGGTGTCTGTATAGCCCTGGACAGGGAGCAAGTCTTCTTTCCTTCATTGTCCTCCCTCCTCATGATACCTTAGGGGATTTGAGGGAGGAAAAGTTAAGAAACGTGCTTCCATAGTATTTGACAGTAACTGTGACTTCCAGGGAGAAAAGCTAGAACATGAAAATGTATTTTTACTTTTAAGATTTTTGTTTTGTTTTGTTTTAGGGTGGTACTAGGGATTGAACCCAGGACCTCATGCTTACTAGGGAGGTGCTCTACCTCTTGAGCCACACCCCCAGGTGAAAATGTATTTTAAAGACTTATAAGAGCTGTAATCTTAGCTACTTCCAGGCAAATACTTCACAACACCCCATCTCCAAAAAAACCAGAGCAAAAATGGACTATAGGTGTAGGTCAATTGGTAGAGCACCTGCTTTGCAAGTGGGAAGCCCTGAGTTCAAACCCCAGTCCCACCAAAAAAAAAAAAAAAAAAAGCCGTTGTGGGCTGGGAATGTAGCTTGCTGGTAGAGCACTTGCCTAGCATGCACAAGACCCTGCCTGGGAGTTTGATCTTCAGCCCCACAAAAAAAAGAAAGAAAGGAAAGGAAAAGAAAAGAAAAAGACCTTGCAGTCATTTTTTTCCATTAAAAAATAATTTTTCAAATAATACCACCTTATATTAATGTAATGTTTTGGTTTGGTAGTACTGGGGTTTGAGCTCAGGACCTCATACTTTCTCTAGCACTTGAGCCACATTCTCAGCCCTAATATTTAAAATAAAATATTTCACATGCACAATCTTCTGTATGGTATATTATCTGCTATGTACTACATTTGATCTGTATGAAGTGGTGGCAGCTGTATATAGTAGGTAATTTTTAAATTTTTCAGTTATTATCTAAAACAATGTCAAAGTTAACCCCAAATTAGGTAATTAAAAAATCCAAGGATTTCATTAGTGCAGTCATTCAGTGAACATAGGGCTTTACCAGCCTTCACTTTCCTAGGGAAGCTAATCATAAAAACCTTTTCTACAATTTGAAAGATCTGTCAGGTTCTGTTCAGCACAACCCTTGTGTTGCCTTAATTTTTTTCTTTTTTTTTTGTGATACTAGAGTTTGAACTCAGGGCCTACCCCTTAAGCCACTCCGCCAGCCCTTTTTTTGTGAAGGGTTTTTTTCAAAATAGGGTCTTGAGAACTGTTTGCCTAGGGCTGGCTTTGAACCATGATCCTCCTGATCTCTGCCTCCTGAGTAGCTAGGATTACAGACATGAGCCATGAGCCCGGCTCTTAATTTTTTTTCTTTTGGTGGTCATACTTCCCTCTTAAAATAGAGTTATTCCAGTTTACTACATAAATATAAGATCCATATTGTTGTCTTGGTACTTGTTTTTCATTCATTTTGAGATTTAAAACTGAAAAGTTTACTTCAGTTTAAATCCCAATAACTTTTTTTCCTTAAAGTGGTTTATATCATACCACTGTAACAGAATTCTGTTGTTGAAATCATCTTTTTAAAATCAGTAATAATCCTTTTAATGGTTAAGTATTTTGAAATGAGAATGACATTTTTCATGTTCATGTAGAAAAAGGAAAGATTTTTATTCATACTCAGAAGAAAATTGAGAAATGTTATTTATTACTAGCACATTCAAATGACTTACTGTTTCTTTAACAATAAGACACTGAATTTTGAAAGTTTATCCATCCGAAGAACTTTAAATGAATTTTGGTATAGCTAATCAGTAATTACTGCTAAACTTTTTCTTACAAGTACAGAATTTTAAAATTTCTAATTAAAAGATCACTCATTTAATTATCTGTAATTTTACATTTTCAACAAATGTCAGTGTTTTATAGACTGTTGGCCAGAAGAGGAGCCCTGTTTGTCTTTTTTCATTTCTCTCTATAATTGATTAGATATTCTATTTAATTTGTGCCAATCCCTTTTGTTAACTTTTTTTTTTTTTTTGGCTTAATTTCTTTTAGAAACATGTCATTCAGGTTTATCAAAAGGTAGGATTTATATATACACATTTATTTTATATCCTCACCCCCAATGGCTCCTGCAATTAACATCAGGTTTGGCTTTCTGGCCCTGTTTTTTTTCCTTAAAAACTAAGCTTTCTGCTGAGAACTAAATACTTGTTTCCTTGAAAGGAAACTGGAAAAGGATAGATTAACTCTGTCAGGCATTGTAAAGGAACTGTGGCACCCATGCAACAAAAGGCCTATGCATGCTCTATGCATTTTCTTTCTTTGGGAGAATTATTTAGCATCCAAATAATTCTGTCTTCATACTAATAACACTTAGCATGCTCCTGTTTGAAGAGTGAGATGTAATAACATTAACACACAATTAATGATCAGCTACAAGCATGCAAAAGGTAAGTGGTAATTGTGGTGGTCTTCATTTTATTTTACTGAGGATTAAATTGGCAAAGGCTTTTAAATGACAGAAATTAGCTAATATTCTGATATTGGAGACAAGCATAAAATTCCAACCTCCAGCCACATTTGGTTTGGCTTTTTCAGAAATTCATATGTGAGCAATTGCATAGCAGAAATGTTTTAGTATTTTTGGAGTGTTGAAGAGTAAATAGTATTCTATCTAAAAGCCACTTTACACCACCTACTGAAGAAAGCATGTCTCACTGTTTTTACTAAAACACAGCAGTAAGTGGTATTTCAATTTTATTAATATTTTTAGGGAAAACAGTCAAAGGACCAAAAATACTGTTGTCCTTGGAATGCACACGTATGAGGCAGGAAATCTGCCATTAAGAACCACAGAATGGGCCAGGTGGCGGTGGCTCACACCTGTAATCCTAGCTACTTGAGAGACTCAGATCAGCAGGATCATGGTTTGAGGCCAGCCCTGGCAAACAGCTCGGAGAGTCCCCCTTCTCCAAAATAACCAAAGCAAAATGGGCTGGAGGTGTGGCTCTAGTGGTAGAGCACCTGCTTTGCAAGCATGAAGCCCTGGGTTCAACTCCAATTCCACCAAAAAAAAAAAAAAAAAAAAAAAAGAACCACAGAATGCCTATGTCTGTCCTGTCACTGGAAGGCCAGGCTCTGAGTTTTTGTGTTTATGAGACCAGTGGGTCACTTCAGGGCTCTGTTACATGTGAGCTCTGTGTCAGAATCTATGGGAAAAGTACTTCTTCCTGTTGGAAATTCCACTCCTTGATCATTTTTCAATTGATCTTCCCAGTTGTCAAATTTTTTCCTGAACAGAAAATGTTACAGTTGAACAACGTAGCCTCGTCTCCTTTTAATTCAAAACCCTTATACTGTGGAGAGTGCTAAAAAGCCAGAACAGCTCCAGTCCAAGGCCACGGATGTGCACAGCTGGAAGAGCCGGCCTGAACACCTGCCCCAAGTAGATGTGCAGCCTGTCCCTGCACGCTCCTGTGTCCTCACGAAGGAGAGCACAGCACCAGCTGAGTCACATTGGGAGGAGGAAGAGTTTTCATAGCACAGTGGTGTCCAAGAGTGCTTAGTTCACTGTGTGATGTGCATGCTTATTCGTGGGTGGTTACATACCAGTGTGTAAGATTTCTTCTCTCTTTCCCACTTTCTCTGCTTCTCCATTCTGTTCACTGAGGCTTCCAACTGAATATGAGAGGAACGGGAGATATGAGGGCTCAAGGTGAGGGAAATGATTTTTTCTTTACTTACCTCATTTTTGTGGCAGGGGGAATTCTGTGTTCTGAATTTTCTGCACCATAATACTGTTGTTCCTGTAGGATATGTTATGTAGTGGATCTGGTGCACAGCAGAGGTTCTGATTCTGTTCCTGTTGCTGCTGCCTCCTACTGGCCTGGTGAGGAGGCTGCATGCACCCCAGTGGCCACATGAGGGCGACAGCATGCCATGAGCGCCTTGCTGAGCCTTTTTCACGTGTTTATATAATAAACTCCTTGAATGAGATTGGGCGGGCTAGAGCCAGTATGATGCTCATGGACCTTGCTGTCCCTGATTCCTCACTTGGTTCCGTTCTCTAGGTACAATTGGAAGACGTTTAGTAGAATTTTCATATTTCAATCTAGATATGTTTTCTTCCAAGGTGATTTTTAAAAGTTGTTATTTTTGCCTTTCTGTTTTGGGTAACCATTGATATGTGGCTGTGGGATCACATATAAGCTCAAGACTGTAGTGCTAGGTCTCCACTTGGCTTCTTTAACAACAGTCATGACCAGGCTATTTCAGGGCCTCGCTAACCCCTTTGCACTCCTCTGATCTGTCCAACACAGTCTCTGATGACATGGCTGTTCTCAGTAAAAACTTTCATTGGCCTCTGCAAAGGAGGCCCTGAGTGCTATGTAGGCTGCACTGCTGAGGCGGAATTGGGGTGAGCACCAGGCAGCCTCCCTTCCAGGCCTGCCCTAGCCTAGAGCAGGCTGTCCAAATCTGTTGTCCTACCCACAACAGGAAGGCGATGATGGAACATGCTTTCTAGTGTGGAACAAGACAAGGCCTGCTGTGGGAAGTGCTCAGTAAGGACCAGCAGGTATTGGGGGTGCCACTCTGCCCCTCTATTCGTCCCATGTACTCAGTTGTGCCCTCAGCCCATTGCGTACTTCCCTGGCTCCGATGTCTGTTACTGAAATGCTGGGGGGGGAGTGGTCTCTTCAGGAGGCCATTCGTCCTTGTCCACCTTCCTCATTCTCTTCCCTGGGTGGCTCCCCACCCCTGACCCTGCAGCAGATGCCTACCTTCCCTGTGCTGACACTGTTTCTTCACCTCAGATTTCTCCATCCCAAAAATGGTAGAGTGGTTTTGCTCATTTTTTTAACCTATTGAGTATCAGCAGTTTAGCTTGTGCTCTGAATCTACCTGACATACAGACCAGTCATTCCGGTTCTCTGCAAATGAACCATAACATTCCATTTCTCCATCTGTTCACTAGTATGATTGTCATCTGAGTTGTTTTGGTTTGTTTGTTTTTGAGGGTGGTGGGATATAAGGTCTCACTATTGCCCAGGCTAGCCTTGAACTCCTGGACTTCAGCAACCCTCCTGCTCCAGCCTCCCGAGTAGCTGGCACTATAGGACCACACCACCAAAATTTTTCATATATATACTATGAAACTGGGAATTTAACAAAATAGAAGGAAAAACAGTGAGGTGGGTAGAGGTGAGTGAGAAAATGGCTGACCTGGTCATGCACTCGGTGTGCTGTTTGCTGGGAAGAGCAACTTTAAGCTGTGAACATTGAGGCCCCAGTCATCCTAAGTGCCAATATCTGTGGCAGTCACAGTGTCAGGACATGACTAGCAGAGAAACTACGCAGTGAACAGAACAGGAGGCAGGTGGCTGACAATCCAAGTGCAAGAATGTTTGTCTACTTTGCCTGATTTCCAAGAATAATGTGTAACAGATTTTTTTTTCCTTTTTTTTCTGGGGGGCGGGGGAAGGGACAGTTGTCTATACTGGGGTTTGAACTCAGGGCCTCATGCTTGTGCTTCACCAGCCCTTTTTTGTGTTGGTTAGTTTTGAGATGGGGTCTCTGGAATCATTTCTGGGCTAGCCTCCAACCATGATCTTCTTGATCCCTCCCTCCTAAGTAGCTAGGATTGTAGGCATGAGTTACCAGCACCCAGAGCAAACTGTTTTCTTAATTTTAGTTGGTACAGGTGTCTGGTGAAGATTTTGCAGCCAGGTGGATTTTTGTGCTCATGGCTTCTGCTGGGGGTGGGATTACACATGAACACCTCTTAGTAAATATGAATCTGCATGGAGAAAATGTGGAGGTCACTTGTCAGCTATGTGCTGGAGATGCTGATGAACTTGATAAAGTGGAAAAAGTTCATTTTCCTGTGCAATTAAAAATAAACCCACCACTGTGCGTTTCAGTCGCAATGTATCTTCTGAGCAAAAGGATGAAAACAAAGAAGCGAAACCTCGCTCTCTGCGCTTCACCTGGAGCATGAAAACCACTAGTTCCATGGATCCCAGTGACATGATGCGGGAAATCCGCAAAGTGCTAGACGCCAACAACTGCGACTACGAGCAGAGGGAGCGCTTCCTGCTCTTCTGCGTCCACGGCGACGGACATGCGGAGAACCTGGTGCAGTGGGAAATGGAAGTCTGTAAGCTGCCAAGACTGTCTCTGAACGGAGTCCGGTTTAAACGGATATCAGGGACATCCATAGCTTTCAAAAATATTGCTTCCAAAATTGCCAATGAGCTAAAGCTGTAATCCAGTAATTATGGTGTAAATTAAGTAGCAATTTAAAGTGTTTTCCTAAACACTGATGGAAATGTATAGAGTAATATTTAGGCAATAACGGTCTGCATCTTCTAAATCATGACATTTAAAGCCTGAGGACGAGAGCACACCTGGGAGCGAAAGCTGGCCTTTTCTACGAATGCACTACATTAAAGTCGTGTGACCCTTGCCTCTGTCTTGTTTCCATTGCCCTGGGAGTCAGCGCATGGCACCATCTGCACGTGCCTCCTGTGTGTGGTGTGAGTGGACGGTGTGTGTGGGAAGTAGTGTGTGCTGAACCATCTCCTGACACTGGCAGCCAGCATTGTTACTAGTACCTCTCTGGGAGATCATTTGGTGCTAAAACATTAAAAAATTGCCAAGGAAGAAAATATTGAATTACTGCTAAGAATTAACCTTATGACTAGCTGATGATACAGGTTTACAGTTCATGCCTGTGGTTTTGTGTTGTTTCGTGTTTTTTTAGTGCAAAAGGTTTAAATTTATAGTTGTGAACATTGCTTGTGTGTTTTTCTAAGTAGATTCACAGATAATTAAAAATTCACTTTTTCTCAGTAAATCTTGCATTGTCTCCTAATGCTGTGTTTAAAACGTAGCCTAAGGTAGCTCCTAAGGCATGTTGGTTACCTCCATCATCAAGCTGAACAGAAGCAAAGGAATGTGTTTGTAAACTCAGAGCCACTTGGTCCTCTGCGTGAATTCCAGCCTTTTGGATCACCAGCATCTTTTCTTCCCAGCCGTTCTGTTGCCCTGAGGAGGGAGAGCATCAGGTGGCTCAAGCCAGGAACCGCACTTGCCAGGCCTTGACACTTGTGGGTTGAGCTTTTCGTGCAGTGTTCCTCTCTCCTCCTTTATGATCCACACACAATCAGACATTTAGCTTTTTTCCAACACCTACATAGTTATGTAGAGGGGATAATGAACTTAACACTCTTTGATGCTTTAATGTCAATCACAAGAAACACTTAATGTAAGACACACGAGTGAACAAAACACAAATCCCGGTCTCCTTGCAACTTACATTCCAACAGGTGGTCAGTAAACTGGAAATGGTAAATTACCTGGTATGACACTGGTGAGAAAAGCTATGAAAGAAATTGCAGAATCTGGGCGTGGTGACCTACATCTGTAATCACAGTACTTGGGAGGCAGAAGCAGGAAGGTTGCAAGTTCGAGGCCAGCCTGGGCTACATAGCAAAACCCTGTCTCCAAAAAAGTTGGCAGGGAAAGGGCTCATAGGGTAGGAATGAGCTCAGTGGTAGAGCGGTTATCTAGCATGTGTGAGACACTGGTTCAATCACCACTACTACAAAGGGAAAAAATTGCAGAGCAGGTTAAGGATTCTAGAGGGTAAAAGGTTCGGGAAACTGTTAAATAGCTCCATTGGTGGAGACGGGTGCTTGTCTAGGAGGAAGAATCCACAGGTAACTGCTAAAAAGTACTTGTAGAGGCCAGAGGCTGGAGCCCCTGAAGCCTAGAGCAGGGTTGGGATGTGATGATGGTAGCTCACCAGGCCTTGCAGGCTGTTGTCGACACTCTTACTTGGGAACTGCTGGGGGTTCCAACAAGAGTGGCACGTCTCAGGTTGTCAAAGGGTCACTCTGGCATCTATGTTTGAAACTTATTGTAAAAGAGCACTGAGGAGCCAGGAAAGCCCAGCAAAGGCTCTTAGTAACAGGCAAGAGACTGTGCTGGCTAAGTGAGGGTGCGCCCCCTACAGAGACTGGTTGGGTTCTGGATATATTTTGAAATAAAAGACAACCACTTATGCCCTCTGATTGGATATGGGCTGAGTGAGAAGAGTAGGGATGACTGATTTTTGGTCTGAGCAGCAGGAAGGAAGGGGTTGCTGGGAGTTTAAAGAGGAAGGTGACAGAAGCGTGGGCAGGTAGGAAGACCAGGTTTGAAAGCAGGCAAGAGGGGAGAGAGCTGAGCATGCTGGCTTCGGAAATCCTTGCTACTCAGGAAGTAGAGATAGGATCATGGTTTAAGGTTAGACCAAGCAGAGAAAGTTCTCAAAATCTCAACAAAAGCTGGGCATGGTGACCCATGCCTGTCATCTCAGCTGTGCAGGAAACAACTAGGAAGCTCGTACTCCAGAATGGCCTGGACATAAATGTTCAAGAGACCCTTATACTGAGAAAACTCGTCACATAGAAGGGCTTGTGGTGAGTTAAAACCACAGTCCCACAAAGGTAAGAAAAAAAATGGAACACTAGGAGTTAAAACTTGGAGATGTACTGGGGGTGTGGCTCAAGCAGTAGAGCACTTGCCTAGCAAGTATGAGGCCCTGAGTTCAAACCCCAGTACCACAAAAAAAAAAAAAAAATCTTTGAAAAGATTAAGTTTACCACATGGCACTAATGAAATTGTCACTAAGCAACACAAATGTTCTATGTTTTGGGTTGCTTTTTTTCACTGTGACTGTATTTTAATGTCTCTGATCAAATGAATAATTATGTGCCTCTAAGAGTCACAAATTTCCAGAGTTGGTTGTGTTTAGATTAGAAGGCTGCGTTACTAATTGATGTTAATTTTATTGCCACTATGAGTAGTTAATACCTTTATCAAGCTCAAAACGTGAAACTTCCATCACATGCTGTCCCTTCAGATCCCATATTCTTAGAATTTAGCATTTTTATTCTGCAGCAGTGACATTTGTAAAGGAAAATTCTGAAGTAATTTAAAGTCATGTCAGACTCAAAGACAATGCTACATTTTTCTCTTGTCCACTTCCCAGGAACCTCAGAGATGAGGGAGGGTAAGTAGCAGGCTGTACTAGTCCTGTTCTGAGAGTAGTGTTAATATGCTACTGAGTGCTGACTGAACAAAACGTTTCTACGAGTGAGTGAGGTGCAGTATCTTAGGGTCTCCTTTCATCTTTGTGAGTGACAGCCGTGCAGAAACCTGGCAGACATGGTGAGCACCACTCTGTGTTCACAGCAGGTGTCAGAATGGCTAGAAAGTGCTGATTCCTAAAGGGAAAATCTCAGGTGGCAGTGTTGGTATCTACCTGTAATCTCAGCAGAAGGCCAACCTGAGCTACACAGCCAGACCCTGTCTCAGAAAAAATCTATTGGTTGGGGACATGGCTTAAGTGGTAGAGTGCCTGCCTAGCAAGTGTGAGGCCCTGAGTTCAAACCCCAGTACCACCAAAAAAGAAAAGAAAAAATCTATTTGTCGTGGGTGTGTGTGGTGTGTGTGTATGTGTGTGTTCAAGGTGCCATTGCTTGTATTGGAGCGCTATTTTCGTTTTTGGATGCCTTTTGTCTAATTGTTACTTTACATGAGGATCCATGAGGTCCTTTAGATTGCTGGCCCTCCTTCAAATGGGAAATTGTTGGGCTGTGGGAATAGATCAAGTGGTAAAGCACCTGCCTAACAAGCTCAAGGCCCTAAGTTCAAGTCCCAGTGCCAAATTATATATATAATTTGATTACTGTCCTCTCCTAAGTTCCACTCACAAGAACAGTTCACACTTGAGTCATCTATTTGGTCAGAATACCTCCCATGTATGTCTTCCACAGCACTTCCTGGAAGAGCAACAATTGCCTTTTTTGGCAGGGGAAGGTGGGCAGTACTGGGAGTACAGGGCCTTGAACTCCCTAGGCAGGCAGTCTACCACTTGAGCCCTGCCTCCAGCCCCTGCTACTTTATTTTTTTGGATTCAGAGCCCAGACACATTGAAAGTGTTGTGATTACAGATATGCACCACCACACCCAGGTAACAACTGCTTTTAAGTACTTTGGTTTGCAATTTTGAAAGACCAAAAGTCAAGTGGAGCCAAGGCTTCCTTGGAGGCAATTCTTGCTGAGTGGTGCAGCAGCTGGCCATCAGTGAGCCAGGGAGATGATGCTGAAGCAGCACTGTGAGTGTGGGAAGGCAGGAAGAGACAAGCAGGGCCTCTTAGCCTGTCTATGTCCCGGGGAAGCGGAGGTGATCACATGACCATATGGCAAGGAAGAGCAGTCAGAGGACTGGATGGATGGAGTTTAGGGAAGTGGAGAATGAGCAGGCAGGGGTGTGCCTAAGATCTTTCCTCCTGTCTGAGCCAGACTAGGAGGCAGCCAGCTCATAGGGCGGCTCCAGGGAATGGAGAGAGCGGAATGCACATTGCAGAGAGGCCACCATGACCTCAAAACACTTTTGCCAGAGCTGGGTGTGGTGGTACATGCCTGTAATCCCAACACTCCGAATGTTGAGGCAGTTGGGTCTCAAGTTTGAAGCCAACCCGGGCTACATAGGGAGACCCTGTAAAGAAGGCACTTTGCCAGGAAGCAAGCTCCCAGTTCTAGTGAAGTCTCCAGGGAAGGTGGGAATCATTTCCCCTCTGATTGCTGTGGTGGGGTCTGAGTAGCGGGAAGGCTCAGGGAGGGTGGCCTCCATTCTGAAGCGGAACCTCTTCTGATGTGCTTCACCCAGAGCTCAGCGCCCTGTGCAAGGTGAGTCAGGCAGAGTGGCCTAGTGATGGAGGTAGGTGCTGGGGCCCAGGCAGGCTGATTTACAGACTCAAACTTCATGCCTCCCAGGCCTATCTCCTTTACAAGTCCAGGCGATAGTAGTAAGACCTCACTGTAGCTACTGGCGGAGAACACCAGGCAGATGGCATGTGCCAGCAGGGCTCCTGGCTGGCGGTCACTCTCATGACATCTCCCACTGCACAGGTCCTGAAACAGGAACACATGAGGTAGAGCTGGGGTATAGCTCAGTGTAGAATACTTGAATGCACAGAGCCCTGGGTTCTACTCCCAGCACCAAAAAAAAAAAAAAAAAGCCAACTCTTCTCCTGCTAGGGCACTGAGACCTCAGAACAGGACACTGCCAGCAAGTGGAGTTGGAGACCTGACAAGGAAAATGTCCCCTTTCTAAGGTGGATAGTCCTGGCCTTCCAAACTTGCTGTGATATGCCCAGCTGTTACTTCCCTGACTGAGAGTCTTTGTAGATGTTCCCAGTGGACACTGAAAGCAGTGAGCTGTCCTGGCTGGGACAAGAGCGCAGACCAGCAGCCTCTCGCCTGCCCTAGTCAGATGCAGCTCCTGGCCTCTTTGTTGGACTTTGCCCTTTGCTTCTCTCTGCGCACACCAACAGACTTTGTTTACAAACCTACCAAGTCTGTCCTGTCTGTAGACTCTTCATCCGCTTTTTCCTGTATCCCAAGTGCCTAGAATAGCACCTGGCCCAAGGTGCAAAATGAGTATTTGTGTTTGCAAAAGTGGTAATGAAGCATTAGGAGATGTCTGAAAAGTACCAGGCAGCTTTGGTGGCTGGCTGGAGGAGCAGCTTCCTGCGGCTGCCCCTCCCTAGACAGGCAGCAGCTGTGGGAGGCGGGTTTGGCTTGTGGCCTGTCCTGTCTGGTCTCCACCAGCCCTCCAGGCCCTTCCTGTTTGACAGAGCAGGCTGAGGCCCAGAGGTTGGGTCAGGCGAAGAGTCAGAGTCCCCGGGTTGGACCAGGGCTTTGTCCACCAAGTTGCTTGTACCATGATGTCTCCTTTTTGTTGCTCAGCTCGGGTCAGACACAGACCTCAAGAGTCCCCGATGGTGCTGGCCCTGTCTCAGGATAGCATTTGCCGTCAGATGTGCCATTGAAGTTAAAATGTTTGACTTAGCACCTTAGTCTGCTCTCCATACCCAAGTCACTGTCATGTAGCATCTGGATTTCAACCCATAAAAAGAATCACAGCCTAGACTAGGCACCGAAGGGCAGCTGATACCTCAGGGCCTGAACACTCCCTCCAGTGCACCAAGACCTTGTTAGTGGGAAGCCTGTACCTGCCCTGAGGGGCTGCGTTGGGGGTACAGGCTGCAACCAAAGAAGTGCCTTGTTGATGTACTTTGGTTACCTTTTGGTTGTGTGGAAGGACTGATTGAGGCCCTTGTATTCCCAGCTCCTTGGATATTCATGCTGT